GAGATTTGGCTTGGAGCATGCGGCACGCACGAAATCATTCATAGATTGCTCTTTTCTTTGTGTTGATTGTTTCACAGTGCATTCAATATGATTGATTCGGAATTGAGGACTCTCTGGCTCCTAGAAGCTGTCGGATAGACACTATAACTCGTGATGTTTCTCAGAAGAAAGCTTTTTGTGATGTCGTTGACTTGGAGTTGCACTTGTGTATTTTTCTCGGAAGAATCACTCTGGTGATCTCGTGGTTCTAGCTAAAGTATCGAGGGATGAGTGTTGAAGTTGGAAGGACGGGAGAGCACAATATACTCGTTCGAAAGGAGAATCGAAATGTGTTTTGGCTCTTATGAAGAACGCAATGGTTTGCAGCTATCTGAATCCAGTTTCGTTAAGAAGAGTATGAGCTTGGGCCGCATAATGAAGCATTTGCCTTCCCATCAGAGAGCTTTTGAATTTCTCACACATCGATATATCGATTGAAGAGACTGTTCTGTGGCCGATACTAAAAGCACATGAAAAGTATCATTAATGGGTATATAGCAGAGGATTTGGAAAGCTATATCTGTTAAGGGTGTTTGATTTGTGAGCGCAACCATTCACCCGAGTCGGTGTGGGTCTTAATCGAGGGGTAATCTATTTTCCGTCGCAAAACCATTTTTCGATATCTTGGAATACTCTCAGGTGCTACGTTTTGCTAATCCCTTTTTTCTATCTGGATGACATCTTTGATTTCGACATATCTTTTCAAAGATTGTGTTAACAACGATTTTCAAATTTGTATCACCCGGAGATGTAGTCATATTTCTCACATTCGACAATACGCCACATATATGAACTCATATAGACCCGTTCCCATCTTTGCGTCATTAACAAAAATACATGGCATTCGTGCCTGGCAAAGTTCATGATTCTGGAAATATGTAAAGTCCTGTGGCAGAGAGCATGCACAGAGAGTCTAGGGCGAGATTGTGTGACTTGATGCAACCGGAACAACTTATTTAACCGCCAAGATAGCACATGCCAGCCTGGATATATAGCAAAACCAACACCTTTGTGAATGCGTGTCGTGTCGAAAATGCCGAGGGACCTACAAATACCGAAACACTCATTCCGCTTCCACTTATAGACCCGGCATGGCTCTTTCCAACCGGCAAGATTCAATTCGTCCCGATGCTACAGGTCTTGAAATTACATGACGACTGGCTCTACATATATAGACCAGCAGCATATCTAACGCACCTTTCTTCGTTTCTCAGCTCGGAACTCATACATTTCTATGACCCAAGTTGGGCGTAGTGTGAGTATCATCTCATAAGGAAGATATGTCATCCCAAGAAGTTTTGAAGTGTCTAGTCTGAATTGAAGATTTGAAGATTTGTAGCTTAGTAGCTGCTTGAAAGTTTATCTGGAAAAGAATCATCTGCTTGGAGTGTACTATGGAGATGTTGAAACGATTGTCTGCCATGAAGCGCGGTGCGGGACTGTCGGTGCACCTGGCTCTCTACCCTTGCACACTACTAGGTATGTGTGGAATACAACAGTTATCATTGATAACACTGTTGTAACGCGACACGGGGAAAATTCACAGTAACATGCTCGTCATGTGATGAGTTCGGTTCCGAGCTAATCTCGAGGATTAAAGTTTCTACTATTGATCATGATTGATTACGAAATGCGGATTCGGAAGATTCGTGAACTTAGTGAATTCCATTTACACGTCGAGAATTGTAGTATCAACGTATAGTTTCCCAAGATTTCATGATATCAAGCAACTTTGCATGAATTTTGGCCAGTGGTTCTTTGCAAGGCTGTATTCCAACACTTGTTGAATGTTTCAAATCAATCTCGGTAATCTATCACGCGTAAAGAAACCAAACCCGAAGCATATTCCATCCTGAAGTCGGAACTTGAAGATTGCAGAGGCGTGCTTTATGAGTCATTGGAAGGAGCTTTGTTGTATTAATATTTGAGGAAAATTGAAGGAAATCCACTCCTCAACCGATACGTCGACTCGATACGAATACCATGCAGGCTGAGATTTATCAGTCTCAATTCTAAGTGTCAGTTTGATTTTTCGTCATCTCTTTTACCCCTGACATCATATATGACACAGGCAAAGATATTGTCACTACCCTGCCTGATTATTCTTTTCCACAGGTCAACTATCTTTGTTGAGACCGTCGACTGAGTTGTCACCAGTTATACCCGAAGGATCGAATACCAAGGACGGAAGAGTCATATTGCCGTTGATAAGGTTATCCACTAAATAAATTACATAGTAGGCCAGAGGCTCATACAAGCTTTGAGCTCTCCATAGATTCTAGAACTTCTCACCCAGGAAAGATGCGTCTTGGTTCTAGCTGGACGCAGAGAGCTTTAAATTACGCTAATTCTTCACAGTTATGTACTCCCATCCCGGACTGGTAGCTGTATGAGTCTGCGTGGCGATGTTGTTTAATTTCCTCTTCACTGAATTCTCTGTCTCCTTCAATATTCTTGATACATAGAATTGTCAATGAATTTATTAACTGAAGAATGATGTACAGCTAGGCCACAGTAGATCAGTGAACACTGGAAAATGTTATAACCGCACCATAATGAGTGTGGAGGGCTTCATTTTACGTTAGCTTCGCCAAAGTAGGTCAGTATCCCCGGTCCATCGAATACGCCTACCATTAAAGCAGGGCGTAGCAAGTGCACAGATACTGTTGTATTGATACTAGCCTTGGAATAAGTTTATTAGATACTACGCCACAAAAGAGCCCCCTAGGAAGAGTGATATTGCAATTTGAAACCACCAGAACTATAAAAAATCGAAACACTTGCATTTTGGAATCACCCATATGATCATGACCAGTCCATCATCTACGTTTTGTAGTTGAACCCTGGTAAATCATCCATGATACGTATATGTGCCGTGCCGTGCGGGAAACCAATTAGCTGGTACGTTCTTTCCTTCATAAATCCTGTCACAATTCGTTTATCTATAACCATTGTGTTGCCTTTGAAGAATTATACGTGATCAACATTATGTTCTTCCATGGGCGAGGATTCTGAGGGAGGAGAAGCTACCCAGTCTCTTGGCAACGATGTTATGCGGGATTTGCTTGGAGAAGGCCCTTCTAGATAGCTCATAGGACATACGTGGTAGCGCCCTTAGGAACCCGACTGCAGTAGTATGGATAGATAATCAAAGCGTACATTGATTGCTTGCAGCCTCACCATCCTCTAATTTGGCTTTTATCGAGGAAAAATGTGGTTTTGTTACACAGAAATACGTTACTAATTTCCTGGATCCTTCAACGGGGCCCACTACAGTCAGTATTTCTTCCCTATGGAAGATCTCATTTGCTGATTTTGGCCACAAAACTTATTATATTCTTTGCTGCATCGTGAGCTTCCATAACTTCACAATCTTGTCTTCTCCTTTTAATATCTGCATCTGCTTCTGCAGCTCAACCTGGTCTTTGCAGCTAACCGGCGTGCCAAAAACGAACATGATCGCTTTCACAAGCACAAAGCTGAGATTGAGTGATGGCCTGAATTTGATTGAAAGATCACTGGGAGCTTTGTGACAGTATATTAAGTCATGTCGTCCTGGACTTGTTTTCTCATTCCCCAAACTTCAACAGAATCGCATCCGCAAAATCCAAGAACATTCAATACCACACAGACTCCGGAAGAGAAATCAGCATTCAATTCGTCAATCAATTTATACTCTCATATACCGACAGCCTAGCGAAGCCCAACACAATGTCCCCAAGCAAAGTATTCAACGACAAATGGGTGAACTACCCAGATGTTCAGCCATCCGGCCCTCCAAAACCAGTATTACTGTCATTACTTTACAATTTGATGGTTAGCCTTCTAACACTGCTCCAGTTTTCTGATCAACAACCAAAGGCAAATATGATCGTTTTCAAAACCACGCCCACGGAGAAATGTTGGATCGGCGTCTTCCCAGACGCGAAAGTCCATTCGAACGAGCAAGCTACTTGGTCTAATGGTCTGGCAAGAGGTGACTCGAACAGAAGGAGTGATTGAACAATAATTTCAAGGAGACAATACATGACTTTACTGGAAATAACTCCTTTACGTTGGTTTCTTATACGAAAGGGAAATACAGAGATACTCAGGCTAGAATGGTTCTACTTCGATTTTATGTCGAAAACATCTCGTTCGAAGATCTCAAATTGGGCATTCGCACATGATGGTCGGGGTTTCGTGGAAGATATTTCAGACATGAAACTAGTTTATTCTATACTCCAGTGCCTTGGGCATCATATTTGGGATGATGTATACTTCATAGAGACAGTTAGTGGATGAAATGATTATTTTTGATACTTCCAGTAATTTGTGCGTCCTTGGAGAGGACGATGGGATTTCTTTGGATTTACACTTTATTTAGAAGGAAAAGTTGGCACTTTTCTATTGTTAAGTTCGAATTATAAATTTCAGTTTATCTAGCTATATATTTACATAATTGAGCAACCGGACGTTATATTTGTAGAATGGGACATCCCGTCTCTCTAAGAAGTCGTCAAGTTGGCCCAATGAAACATCGCGATCACGAGTTTTCAGAATTCGTTCTGATTGGACACAATATTTCATTGGATAAATAAGTAAAAGTTTCATTTCCCATTCCCCAATCCCGTAGATTTGTCTACCCTCAAACTTCACAATGGAAAAATTTGTAGTTATCTCCCTCACCCCTCAAAAATTCTCCAACAAAGAATTAACTTATCGGCTCGCATAAAGATAACATTGAATCAGGCTTGCGACGATTTGAGGTTATCTTCAGATTGCTAAAGAATGAACCCCTCTCATTTGTTCGCCAACGAGTCATGATGGTGTGCTGGTGTTGCATTTTGCTGACATGAACCAGAGCACTGGGTCTACAGCCTTGAGCATTGGGCCGCAAAGTTGCCTACCTATTCGAAGAAGTGAAATTTTCACGATGTCTTCAATTTCGTTTCGTATATATCGAGTATTTAAATCTCGTCATGGAGCCCGACCTTGAAGCTACCGCGGAAGCCCCTCGCGCAAATGCAGCGGTGCGTATTTTTCAACAACGTGATGATTCTGCCGACGATATTGAGCGCGAGGCTGTGAAAAGCTCGCAATCTCTTCAGTCCGAGGGTATTCGTCGTCGAAATACTGATCAGTATGGTGGTGCTGTAAGAGAGAGCACAACATCCTCAGCTGACACGGAGAGAACCTTGACCCAAGAGAAATTAAGGAAAAGCAAGGATACGCCTAGCCACGATGAGTTAATGGAGAATTTGAAGAAAGACTATATCTGTAAGCATCGAGATGATAGATGCCACATTAAACTATGTGAGCTAACAATGAATAGGGGAGGATTTCGAAAACTGGTATTCCGAAGCTTGCTCGTTTTCAAGGAACCCACAAAGACTTCGCGATCTTCCGTGCATTCCACGAAAACCACATTCGTATTTTGATTTATAAAGAGATTGAGCTTACAGATATTGCACGAGAACTTCGGAAAAGGGACAATAAGGACCTTGCAGCATTGAACACACCGGCGTTCTATAGATTGAAGGGGCACTTACATGAACAAGAGAGGGAAGAAATTGTATCTGACGATAATGAGAGCCAGTATCGTACATGGACCAAAGATACACTCATGTCTCTATTAGAAACCAAACAAAAGCAATATGGTTAGTCCCGATTCACGGATCACCGAGCACTAGTGACAATCCAAACAGATGAGGTATTGCTGGCATATGCCAAAATCAATGCCCTCCACCGCCCCCTAAAACGATGTTATGATTCGGTTTTCCATTGGATATTGAATATCAGGCCCCTCGGCGTTAGTCGTCTCAATGGCAACGAGGCAGAGGAATTCATGTATCATCATAATGACTTCATCTCTTTAAACAACAGAGAGAGAGACAACCCTTTCAAAGAAGTGCTTGGCAGCCATCTTTTCAAGTATCCTGGGTCGCCTCTAAAGGTGAGATCTTCTTTCCTCCCGATTATTTGCGAGTGTGCTATTACATTGCTTCGTAGTCGCAAATGCGAGTGAAGAAAATGAAACGCTGATACTTCTCAGCAATTTCTCAAGACAAAAGGCGATGAACAAACATCATATTACGATGAAGAATTGCAGTTGGGCTTGGCCCAGATTCTGTCGCTCATTGTCCTAACCAGCATGCTCATTGCTCCCATATGTCTTTTATTCTTGCTTGAGCTTTCTCGTGGGCTCGTGGTGTTGGTGGTATTAGTCTTCACTATTCTGGTATATATCGTTGTGACTCTTGGAACGCCGGCCAGCCAGTTTGAAGCATTTGTAGCGACAGTTGCGTAAGTGTTGGTTGACCGAGTATTGTTCATTCTGCTAATCTCAATAGATATTGTGCCTTTCTAGTCCAGTTCTTGGGGAACCTTGGACGTGAGAATTAGGGTTTTTGAGATACAGAAAGATTTCGAACTGGAGCCCTGATGTACATAGGAGGAGAGATGAGAAAGCAGTTTCGATGGTCTTACTTTATTTCTTCATTCATGTATTCAATCAGCTCGCAGGCTCATGCCGGTGACGAAGGGGTCTAGATGCGAATCAGTCGCTCGTTTTTGCGTTAATATTTTGAAGTCATAGTAGTGTGCAGTTTGATAATTGTGTACGTAGAAAAATATTTCCAAGAATGAAGTGCTTCCGAGAAATTAGTGAAGTCGTACGAATGAGGCTCGGCTGTGAGTGAGCCGGCTTACTGGTGGGGATCATCCGGGTGGTTCATCAACCTTCCGGCTCGAATTTCGTCTCCCAGGAAACCAACACTACCGACGTACCGTAATTTGCTGACATATCAATATGTTACCCGGTCGGAATCAGGGAATACTTTACCTAGTGCTTAATTTCACCCTTGTATGATCTAAATACAGTCACCGAGTTGTCCTAGCATGGGGATATGACAGGCATAGTTGTCAGGCCATCACCGATGCTAACTTGAAATCCCAGAGCCCTAGAATAATGATTTGTCCATGGCCATTATATTCTTGTATCTAAATAAATAATAAAGATGTGTATATACAGTGGTGTTAATTTTTTCAAATATATTGATTGATAGTACTTCAAAGGCTACCTAGGTACTATTGGTTACTGCATAAGGAGAAGTTGAATCAATGTTCATACTAATATATTAGATTCGATATTGCGTTCGGTTAAATGCATTTATTTGAGCTAGTGCATATTGAGCCTCATGTTGCGTTCGGTAAACAAGATATTAGACCTAACAGGTCTAACGTAGAAGAAAAGAAAATCGAGCCTTACGAGATTAGATCTATCCTAGATTTGATGTAGCCCGATTAATTGTAGTGTGAGAAGTGGGGGCTAAACCCCTATTATTAAACTGTTGGGAACAAGGCCAGTGAGTGCAACAGGCCATTGTTCAATATAGTCTGGGAGTGACCGGTCGCTCACGACGCGGATAATTATTTACATGAAAAAAGATTTGTAAGGATGTCTGGCGGTTCTTATGGTGTTCATTCAAAATAATCAGGGTAGCGGTCCAAAACTAAGAGTAACGGAGAAAAGAAAGAGAAAGTCGCAATTTTTTAGCCCAAGCAATTTTTATATTTAATGCATAATGAAAAAGATGATCAGCCTGTCATAGAGAAATAGGTAAGAAAATTTATGAGCCCCCTCCCCCTCCACCCTCCCTGTTATCCTGGTTGGTTTCCGAGTGCCCAACTGTCAATTCTGCCGCTCAAAGATCTCGCACAAAGGAAGAATTGGAATTTCTAAGAACTTCAATAGTTCCCACCTCTTGAAAGAGATCAAATAATTGATCTGTTCTTACTCAATCTCCCAGATCTTTTTCAAGTCCTTGATCCAATCACTAATTTTCACCTCCTTTGGACTACCTGACTCATCCATTACCCTAATCATTCCTTTACCGGCCGCATTTTCATCTTTCCATGGCGGAACATGTAACCAACTATGCTCCGGACGACAAGTCCATCTGGCCAAGCGGTTTTCTTAGCTTTTCCAAACAATTGCTACAAAATGCTATCTTATAGCATGATCTGCATACATAGAAGTCATCTGCGTATGTCCACGTTTTCCCGCATACACCTTCACATGACAGGTCTATTGGATCACTTTTGATGCTTTTAATAGAATAGTCCTCTTGATCGTCCCCACCGTCGTTATTCCGTATCATAGGATCTATTGGACACATTAAAGACCAAACACTGAGCGCATTTTGATCATCTCCGGTATAACTAAGGGTCCATGCCAGACTTTTATACCCGATGTCGTCATTATCTGGATCATCATCTTCTAATATAGCTATCGCAGTGACCATATTGTTTCTGAATATGTTTCGTGCCTTGGCGAAGTCCTTGAACTGTGAGTAGTATGATGCAAGAAGCGGCTTTATGAAGACTCCCAACAACACTTTCCATTCCCAAGTAAAATCAATGGGAGAATCGTCTCTTTCTGCTTCTAGTTTATAGATTAATTGTTGTTCGTTAAGTAAATGGGGATTGTTTTGTCTAGTTTTGATAGCAAGTTGGCAATGCGCCATGATTTGATACCTCCCAGTAGTGACATGCCATTTAAAAAGAGTTGAAGATTGATCGGATGAAAGATTTAGGATGCGTCTGCAATCATTCCAAAGCATGAGTGAGCGTTGAAGTTGTTCTACGTTCGTTTCTTCGTTTCCGGCAATCAAGAGACCCTGGTAAACGAGCAAGACTGCACGATCTAATTCGTTTTCTGCGCTAGTTGCCGCCCTGACGAGTGCTTCAAGTACAAGTTCGCTCCATACCGTGTTAGAACGTGCTAGATTGATGACAAAATCTAGAGGATTTTGACTGTATATTGTGTCACTATCGCCCAAGTTCTTAGCTATATCAAGAAGGAATTCGGAGAATATTCTTATATCAGGCTGTTGTTGAGAGTCCCAAACCCAGTTTTTGAATTCAAATATCACGCTGCTTGCCTCGTCATCTTTTTCTTCATTGCAAAGAATCTTAATAAGGTCTGAACGAATTCTGTGCTCCTGAGGATTGAATTCGAGAATTTCCTTGTAGAGGGCAATTGCTCCATCGATCTTTCCCACATTTTTCTGCCACAACGCGAATTTTGTCAAGGTTCGAACTAGTGCCTCGCTAAGGCTCAGGGTCTCCCCTGGCGGATTATTTTCCATTTGCATCGATTTCAGTGCTTTGACAGCCAATTCCATCTCAGAGGAGGCACACTCCATCCAAGATTCATCAGATAGCTCATTCAACTCGGCATATGACAATGCCTGAAATTCATGCACCGTCCAGTGGCAGGATGGAAAGCTTTTAGCTTTGTCGAAATACTCAATCGCCGTTGTGAATTTATTGGCTTGAAAGAACGTTTGGCCGATACGCTCGTACCACAATGAGTCTTCGGTCATGTGCAGTAATTTCCGGGCCCATGTCGCTCTGCTTAGAATCTTTTTGCATTCTGGATCTTCTTCAGTGTTCAAGTCCACTTTTGTCGTAGAATCCGACCTTGAGTCGTCAGTTTTTGTATCTCTAATGGCGCCGTCACTCAGTGTTTCCTGCTCTTATCAGCATGAGACAGAAGAGAAAAGGGAGCATGAACTGACTATATCGAGAAAACTGTCTACCCATTTATATGCGTGGTAAGGGCTACAGGTACGGCTTGGATCCCGCAGCCATTTCTTGGCCACCATGAGCGTGATAGGCCTATAGAAATCTACATTTTCCTTCGCTCTTGTATGCTGTTTCACCCAGCGCCTTTCCCTCGGCTCAAGCTGAGCGACCGTTCTCTCATCCTTGATAAAATCTCGGATACTTTTCACGTTGTCAGAATCCCACCAGGATTCATGTATGCTTTCTGTGGTATTCCAGAATCTCTCGATTGCTTCAACATCGCTAAGGAGATCCACGAGTCTTTTCGCAATGACTCGAATCGTAGGTCCCTCTATTTCCCCTTCATCAGACAACAATGCTTCCTTCACTTCTCTAATGTGGCGAGGAAGCCACTCTAGGGCATACTCAACAAGAGGTTCGGTGATTTCATTAGGCTCATCATTCAAGAGCTTTAGGAGTTTTTCAGTTATGTGGAAATTGGCTTGGACCGGGGTGGAATTAATATCAATTTTGCTTTCGTTGCCGGAATTATTAGGGGAGAAATCAAATTTCCCAATTCCAATCTTCTCTGTGAGATCCCAAAAAAATCGCTGAACTGAATATAGGTCGGCCCTATGTACAGATAGTGTCATACTTATCCTACCAGTTTCGATGTCATATGCAGATATTTTCCCCATAGACGTGAGCCTCGAATCCGAGTCTGTAAACAAACGCACAATTGGCTCATAAACACTGACAGTGTTATGTTCCAGATCAGTGAAGACGTTGACAAACTTTTCCTTCAGCTTTCTCTCCAAAGGTTGCACGGGCAATTTGCCTGAATTTAGCCAAAGTGCCGCTCTGATTTGGTCAATGCTGAAATATCTGTAGCCAAAAAGAGCCCAGTCGAGAATCTCATTCAACTGCCTAATATCGCGAGCACTGAGAGAGGTGTTGAGATCGGTAATGATCTTTTGTGCCATTTTATCCGGATCTTCGGATGGATCCTGATCCAGAATTGCTTCAATATCATCTGAATATGCGTCGGATTTAACAGCTTCCACAATCCTGGCTAATTTTTGAGTGATAATCGAGAATGATCCATCAGCAACTTTCGGGAGTTTCTCACGAATAGATTGACGAAGTCGCTTCATTTCTACATCCTGTCCTTGAAGAGAATGGAGTCTTTTCAACTCTTGTTCGATAAATGATTTGATATCATCCATGGTATGGTCGGTGATACGAATGTGCAAATTTCGATTGTTGGAATCAATAATTCCAGTAACCAAGATGCGAAGTTGAAGTCGATTTTCCTTTGCCAACGAAGTACTACTTTTCCTCAATACCTCCAAGAAATTATCAGCATTATCCTCCGACAGCTGATCCAGTCCATCTAGCAGGAGAAAAATATTCAAAGGCTCTTGGTTCTCAGGATCTTTAGCGAATCGCAACTTATCCCACCATTGTTGTACCGCAGAGCACTCTTGTGTATCTGAAATCCGGAAGATCTTTTTCTTAAGTTGCGACAGTGCGGCTGCGTATGCCTTGTTCTGAGTTGCCAATTGCAGGGCCATTGATTTCAAAGCATGGACCACATCATCTTTGCTTGCAGTCTTGGTGCTCTTACTGTCCACCCCTGTGAAAGCGTGGTATGCAATGGCCAAGTTTGCTATTTTTTTGTTTCTCAGGTCCTCTTCTATTGATGCCACGAGGCAGGACTTCCCGGTCTTGAATGCCCCAGACACGAACAATAGCCGGAAAGGCGACCTGGGAGCGGAGTCTGATGATAGCCTGAGCCATTCGTCGTAGTCATTCACTCTGGATAGCCACTTGAAGCCGTCTTCTGGAAATTGTTTTCTGATTTCTTTGAGTTCCTCATTGGCTACATTTGACTTGACCAATCCTTGGGGTATCGACAAGAGTCTTGAAATTTTCTCCACACGATCTGATATGATCTTCTCATCCTTTTGGGCCTTGATGTCATCCTTCACGTACGTGACTCCGTCTGCAATGTGACTTTGCTTTTCGGAAATTGAATCCTGTCTTTTAAGCACTTTATCAATACCTGCAGAATTATCGAGGACTGTTTTCAAAGTGATCACCCCCGTGAGCTCGTTTTGCTTCGTAATTAATTCTTTGAAGTTTCTCAGTTCATCCTTCACACCCGAGTCATCTTTCAAGAAAGTGACCTTCAATACAGTCTTAACTTTGACAAGTTTGCCACCATCGATGCTAAGTGTGTGTCAGCTTCAGTCTTGAGGAAACTAACGGATATTGTAGAGGCATCCTTTTCAGGAGTCAACTAACATGTTATAGCTAGACTGCAAATTCTCACTATTGAAACCATGAGCTTGTGAATTCCACTTTGAGTTCCCGATCAAGTTTCTTATAGTCCTTGTAAACATTCAAAAGAGCCATAGCGTGTGTAATCTCTTCGAACAAGTTTCCCAGGCCTTCATACACCTCAGCGACCTTCTGAGGAATCTCAATCAGGAAAGAAATAGCATTGAAGCATAACTTTGCAGGAGCAAAGACAGTGGATGCGGCTTCTGCGGCTAGACCGCCAAGGAATTGGATGCATTCTAGAATCTTCCCAATAGCATCTTTGATCTTATGCTTGGGACTGGGTTGTACACCATCCTCGGGCTGGAATTTTTCCTTAAGCTGTGCCAAAACATCCTCGATCTTTCTCGGAGGGATTGATGCTAGTTTTCTGTTTGTATTTTTATGGAATTCGCTCTGAGCCTCATCCCACAACTTTTGAAGCTCTCGATCTACTGTTTGAGATTCGGCAGTGACTGTATGGAGTCCCGTTTTGGGCTCCATGATGGCTGTCCAAGAACAATGCGATGATGATGTTGGATCGTAGGTTATAGGAAAAGATGAAAACAAATACAAGACCAGTTAGAAGCTCTTCTTATGGCGGCTGGAAGCGGAGATGATATGTGAGGCGGGGATCAATTCCCCCACTTCAAGCGAAGTGCTTTGGTGTGGGTGGTATTCGGCTCCAAAAACCACTACAAAGCGGCTGTAGATGAACCACTGAACAGTGCCTTCACAGCATTTCGCTTCTTGAGAATATTGAAATTAATCAAGTTTTTGCACAGCTGAATGATGAGTGGAAAGTGAGCATCATCCGAGATAAGATAAAAACGTGTTTCAGCAGCTGATAGGATAATCATTATTGAATCAGGTATAACTCGATACTCGGCCCACTTTCTGGCCACCCCTCCGTCGGATTATATGAGAAGGTGGAAATCATGCCCCCAGATCGTGATGGCAACACGCAAGTCTTTCTATTCCTGGCTTTACTTGTACGATGATTACTGCATATCTTTCGCCGCCTGCAACCTTCCCCCACACGTCGTTTCGACGGTGCTTGTTGAAATGATGGCATAACTTATCGAAAGGCGCACTTGCTATTTTCATATCAGCTGAAAGATCGACAGAACCTGATATCTATGATTTGTAGTAATTGCACTTGTCAATTAATATCAGAACCTAAGGCGTCTTGGACTGCGAGAATCTTTATTCGTGTAATTGTTGTGATAGGGATGAAATGGAGAACAGCCAGACTTGATTCTGCTCGATATCCACTCGAGCCACTGTAGTGAAGTGGTCAAAGCTCACCGGGGATGCGGGAAGTTCACATCAGAGTGGAATTTCTGGGCCCGAATTTCTCCTTTCATCATGACCTCACTCAAATTTTTAAATAAAACTTCCGCAATTGACAACTGTATTCGCTGGTTGACTCGCTGGATGTGTGACTCTTGACCTAATTTATGGAGGCGCGAAAGAGAAATCCGCGCTGTTTTAATGTTGCTTCACTTGTCGATAGATTTCGAGTCAGCTCACTACATTATTTGTAACCGGGAAAGCTACCCACGCTCCCGTCTGAGAGCACCCCAACAACATTGGTCCAAAGCAAACACGAGATTTGCTTCTGCCAAACATCCATTGACCCCATCGTATGTAGGTCGCCTTGATTTCAATTTTATGTGCTTTCATCTCTACATCTCATGGTATATCTCCTCAATTAATGAATCTGTGATTCTTTTCCTTCCTTATAGCTTTGAATGATTCACACACCTTTGAGCTGAGACGAACTGTTGGCATACCATCAGGTACAACGAAGCGGGATCAACTTCAATTTGAATATCGATCCAGAATGGATCGCAATAAAGAAAAAAATCAGAGCCGCGAAGGACTTCTGCGAGATTATGACGATAATGGACAAACGCCAATTCGGAAATCATTCGAAGATGCCTATCGAAATTCAGAGGAATCTGATATCGACGCCACGGATTATCTCAATCCGAATCACCCTCAGGTTTCAGTGCCCGCATATCATACCAGCACTCAATTGAGTAATCTACGACGTACTTTGGCTCGACGGTCGAAATGTCTTATAATAACAATTCTCGTTGGAGTAGTGTTTTGGTCGGTTCTTGCTGGAGGAGGTTTCTGGTTATACAAGAAAACACCTGCAACTGGACAGTCACCGCCATGGTACCCAACACCACCTGGAGGCACAGTATCACAATGGAGCGAGAGTTACAAGAAGGCCGCCGCCTTGGTCGAAAAAATGACGTTGCCGGAAAAGGTGAATATTACCACGGGTACCGGATGGCAGATGGGGCTTGCAGTTGGCAATACTGGTCCTGCATTGAATGTAGGTTTTCCTGGTCTCGCCTTGCAAGACGGACCCTTGGGGCTACGATTCGCCGATAATGCGACGGCCTTCCCAGCGGGTATCACTGTTGGAGCGACATTCAACAAGGAATTGATGTACAAGCGGGGCAAGGCACATGGCCAAGAAGCCAGATTGAAGGGAGTTAATGTGCTCTTAGGACCCTGTGTTGGACCAATAGGTCGAATGCCCGCAGGCGGGCGGAACTGGGAAGGATTCGGCACAGATCCATATCTTCAAGGTGTTGCCGCAGCTCAAACCATCAAAGGCATTCAAGAAGAGGGCGTTATTGCTACGATTAAGCATTTCGTTGGGAATGAGCAAGAACACTTCAGACAAAGTTATGAGTGGGGATTACCAAATGCCATGTCATCTAACATTGACGATCGATCTCTGCATGAACTGTATGGGTGGCCTTTCGGAGATGCTGTAAAAGCTGGAGTGGCCAGCGTTATGTGCAGTTACCAAATGGTGAACAACTCATACTCGTGTGGAAATTCGAAGCTGCTTAACGGAATTCTGAAAGATGAACTTGGATTTCAAGGCTTTGTTCAATCCGATTGGCTTGCGCAAAGATCTGGTGTAGCAAGTGCACTTGCTGGACTTGATATGACCATGCCAGGAGACGGCCTTATCTGGGTAGATGGGAAATCTTTATGGGGCCCCGAGCTGAGTAAATCAGTTCTAAATGGGTCATTGCCCGTCTCGAGACTCAATGACATGGTGACCAGAATTGTAGCTGCTTGGTATCAGCTGGGACAAGATGATAAATCAAAATTTGATGGTGAAGGTCCCAACTTTTCCTCATGGACCAATGAAGAGAAAGGATACATCAATGCTGGAAGCGCTGATGATAAGGACAAGAAAGTTGTCAACAAATTTATCGATGTCCAAGGTACAGGCGATGAAGCGCATTCTATCATAGCACGCCAAGTAGCCACTGAGGGAACTGTGCTATTGAAGAACGAGGACAATTTACTACCTTTAAATAGGAATGGTTGGAGCTCACCAGAAAAGCATGAACTCGTATACAGAATAGGGATCTTCGGCGAGGATGCAAGTGAAGGTGAAGGTCCAAATGTGTGCCCAGATAGAGGTTGCAACAAAGGTACATTAGGATCTGGATGGGGGTCTGGCGCCGTTGACTTTCCTTACTTGATTTCTCCAATCTCAGGTATCAAGAAATCGTTCAACCCGGAACATGTCTACATTACTGTCTTTCCCACAAATTCTCCCCCATTGAAGAAGGCTCCAGCAATTATCAAAGACCAAGATGTTTGCATCGTATTTGTCAATTCTGATGGCGGAGAAGGATATATTAGTTATGAAGGCATTCGTGGCGACCGCAATGACTTGAACCTACAGCATGGAGGCGAGAAACTTGTGAAACAAGTCGCTGAAGGGTGCGGAGGAGGGAAAGGTAACACAATTGTAGTAGTCCATGCTGTCGGACCAGTTGTTATGGATGAGTGGATTGATCTGCCAGGAGTCAAAGCAGTGATAATGGCAAATCTTCCTGGACAGGAAAGTGGAAATGCAATTGCTGATATCTTACTCGGCAACGTAAACCCAAGTGGTAAGCTACCTTATACCATTGGAAAATCTTTGCAAGATTATGGTCCTGGTGGTCAAGTTTTGTACTATCCAAATGCTGTTGTCCCACAGCAAAACTTTACAGAAGGATTGTACATTGATTATCGCCACTTCGACAAATACAGCTTGGAACCTACATTTGAGTTTGGCTTCGGACTCTCATACACCACTTTTGAATATACAAACCTCAAGGTCGATGCTATTTTACCCAAATCATCTTTCCCAGCCACTCGCCCAAACGGAATTCTTCCACCTACTTTCGATGAAAAGATTCCAGACGCTAGTGAAGCCCTGTTCCCTTCAAATATCAGGAAGCTCTCCAAATTTATTTATCCATATATCGAAAAGGTCTCGGATATCAAGGAGGGCAAGTACCCATATCCAGAGGGTTATGACACCGAACAGACCCCATCACCAGCTGGGGGAGATGAAGGCGGCAATCCTGATCTCTGGAATGTTTACGCCACTGTATCAGTCGACCTCAAGAATACTGGGAGTGTGACTGGCAAAGAAGTAGCGCAGTTATACCTCGAATATGACAAAATTAGTGGCGAAGCTGCCAACATCGAATTTCCAGTCAGGGTCTTGAGAGGATTCGAGAAAGTTGAACTCGCAAAGGATGAGATGGCAACAGTGAAATTTGAGCTCACGAGAAGGGATTTAAGTTATTGGGATGTAGTCAGGCAGAATTGGGTCATGCCCACAGAGGGAAGTTTTACGATCAGGGTGGGTGCTAGTTCGAGGGATTTGAGGCTCGCGGGATCTTTGTGATATGGAGTATAAGAAAGGCATGGAATCGGTGTTGGTGATTTTGATTGGGACGTCAGATGAATATGGATATGTATTTGGAACTGGATACGAGATTCTTTGCAACATAGCCAAAAATTGATGAAATACGTGGGTTTCTTAAAAGCATTTATATCGTTTGAGCTTTGTAGCCACCTTCTGGTTCTCTCTTTTCCTACAAATAAAGTCTTGTGATATTAAGATAAAGTTTGCTCGCTTTCCAAGTATTGTGGAAAGGTCCTGGTCTTGTGTGAATTATCTTGTGTTTATAAGTTCAAATTGTTTCCACAGGAGGGAAAACTTCAATGTCTGATGATGCCATAGTTCCTTCTTTTCTCTTCCCCAATGATGATTTGCTTGTTTGTATGTATGTATGAATAAAACTTATCTGTGCTATTTATTTTGCATTTTATACAGAAGTCATGCCCTTTAATTACCCCTCTTTCAATTAAGACTTTCGTGGTACCCAAACACTTTATTTAGGTCACGTTTCCACGCGAGATATCTCTCTACTCCTCACGCGCTTCCCAATTTCACAAGATCCAATTGATTGCGCTGCACAAGATTCACTCAAGCCCAATTCTGCACAAGTAATTTTCTGTCCGCTCACTTTCAATTTCATATAAACTTCAATAAGACCTTCAAACCTTTCAATTTTCTCCACCACAAGTGACGAAACATACAACACATACCAAGAATCAAGATGTCTGCCTTTGCGTTCGGCGGCGACGCCAACAAGGCAATGAAAATCATGGAAGCAGCACAGTGGAACAACGAAGCCAATCAGCTTGAAGCCCGTGGTGATTTTGCCGGCGCAGAGAATTTATTTTTGAGATCCCTCGCGAGGAAAATCGAAACTACCGGCGAGGATTCAATCCAGACTGCTCTTGCGAAAAATGCGTTGGGAGAATTATATTTGAAGATGGAGGGCAAATTGGATGATGCACATAAGATGCTGGAGGATGCTGATAGGGTTAGGAGTGGTATGTTGCTTTTATCTGGACTGAGTATGGTAAGATGAGAAGAAAAAATGCTGATAAGAGTTGAACAATAGTCATTGATGATTTTGACGCAGCTTGCACTCGTGATAACCTTGGTCAGTTATGGGAAATCAAGGGCGATGTCGTGAAGGCGAGAGAGTTCCGAGAAAGAAATCCGGAGAACATGATTTGTTCGAACTTCAAGGTAAGTGTTTTTTTCTGACTCTCCCGAAAATCAGGACCATGCTAAGTAGCTGTAATAAGTGTCCACTCAGTAGCATGAACGTCAAGTCAAAGCAGGATGAACTCAGGAACTGTGCCAGATGCAGGTGTACATGGTATTGCAGTGGAGAATGTCAAAAAGTGGATTGGAAGACGAGACACAAGCGGTGGTGTAAGATGCCCACGGCGGAGAGTGCTCAGAGAACTAGTGCCAGTGGATAGAAAGAGGATGTAATGAAGTGCCCGGGTGGCGTATAGGGCTGCGTGACTGGAGTTGTGATGGAGTGAGGGGGGTCTTGGCTGACAGAAAGTGTTTCCGAATGAACACAAGACACAGAAGCACAGCTCTGACAGTAAATTCTGGCCCATCATAACAAGTATTTTTGAAAGAGATGCTATCTGAGAAAGTTGCAAAATCCAATATGAGATTCCTAATCAATCAGTTTTCAAAGTTTCTGTGTTTCATGTGCCCAAAACCTCCGCCAGACAATCATTCCACAAATCAATAGGGATGTGAAATTTAGATTGAAGGTCTACTCTAGATCCAGATGTAAGTTGCAAGAATGAGCCAATCCTCTGTGGACTATGCATATAATTTTCAGAACATAATAACTTGAAACAGCGTTGAATGAGGCGAATGCGGCTGACTAAGCACGCAAACAAAAGGTTAATCTAACAAGCAAAATTGTCGCTCCTTAAGCTTCTGTAAAATCCCAAATTTGGTATAAACAACGAAGAGGTATCTCTTCTTTTTGCTCAAGTTGAATTTCACATTGGCATTCCTCATGGCCGGTGTCCAAAATTGACCAATTCTAGGGGCCTCTGTAAGTTATTTCGACTGTTCCATAGTCGCTAATTTGTTGTTGTTTCTCACCAAAATTGGCCTGCTTGATGAACGATCACTCAATAAAACAAGTGTAATGGCGGAATCGCAACAAACAAGAGTTGGAGGAGTAATAATCATAAGATCTTCGAAATTATACACGGATGGGTGAAATACCTCAATCTTTCAAGCCAGGTGTTTTGCAGATACGATAGCACATTAATGTCACCATTGCCGAAGTTCGTATTTGCTGGTTCGGTCTTAACTTGTTGGCGCTAGTATCTACCGGTACTCAACCTAGCGTTAGATATTTAAGTGTCAGGTGTGGGAACTACGGGATGATAATGTGGACAGCTCCGGTGGGCGTAACCCCGGAGCACTATCAAATCGTGTGTGAAAGCGGGGACGGCCATGGAACCGCTCGAATAATCTTCTTGCATCGGTAAACTATTTGTGGATGGAATCTACACTTCCTATGGCTATTCGAAGGAAATTAGAACATCCGTTAACTCATTGGGTAAAGAATATTCTGGGGAAACAGATGTGGAGATATTGCATCGCGGGGTTGTCATTTAATCTTAATGGCGAGATTGGGGAGATCGGCAGTCAAATTCTTCATGGAGTCCCTAACTCCCATATCACCGAGAAATTCTATATAAAGGAAGGCAAGATGCCAAAGCAACAAGCAAGAAAAGGGCATCAGAGGTACGCCATCTTGTTTGATTCTCATCATGAAGTACGGAATACTGTCTTTGTTTTTGGCAGCCATTGCAAATGGCTCAAATATACTACAAAGACAAACTATCCTGGGAACTTCTACTGTTAATCTGAACAACAATACTGGTTCTACCGGACACCTTGCTTCGGGCATTCTCTATGGCATTCCAGACACTCAGGGACAGATTCCCACCTCTTTCTATTCTGATATGGGATTTAATTATGCACGAGCGGGTGGTGCCCAGGTTCCGTCACCAGGACGGGGCTGGATATGGGGATTGTCTGAGTATAAGGTCCGTTGAATTTCTTGTTGCCAAGCAAGTGTATACAAATTGCTGAACAGTCCTAGGTTCGATTCGCGTCAGCTTTGTCAAACTACCGATCCACTCGAGCACATGGTGGTAAATTCATATTCCTCATCCACGATTTGTGGGGTGCAGACGGAACTCAAAACTCAAGTGCTCTTTACCCCGGAGACAATGGAAACTGGGCTTCATGGGATGCCTATTTGACTCAATTGATCTCTGACATCAACGCAAATGGTGCCACGGCTGGTCTTTCAATTGATATTGTAAGTCAAGCTGCGTTGAGCTATTCCGTCTCAAGCTTATTAACTGACTCTACGAAGTGGAATGAGCCGGATCTCACCGCATTTTGGAACAGAAGTCAAGCCCAGTACTACCAAATGTGGGGCCGAACTTATTATAGGTTAAGGTAAATAGTGGAATGATTCTGTGTAGAATTATGTACTAAATCAATATTTTAGAGCGGCATTTCCAGGTGTTCTTCTCATTGGTCCCGCCTATGCAAATGCTCCATCCCTCAGCAATACTTGGTGGACTGGCTTTGCTTCATTTGTAAAGACAAACAACAGCGTTCCAGATCAATGGGTCTGGCACATGGAAGGTGGTGGTAGTGCAAACATGGGAACATCTTATTCAGGGCTTCAGCAAATCCTTAAAACTTACGGCCTCCCTCAAAAGACTGTTAATATTGATGAGTATGGAACCAATGCCGAGCAAGTCCCTTCCGGGACTGCTTGGTGGATTTCGCAATTGGAGAGATACAACGCTATTGGTTTAAGAGGGAATTGGCTCAGTGGGCGGTCACTTCACGATTTCATGGCTGGTCTTCTCGGTAAACCAAATGCTGGAACCTCAGCTTATTCTCCAACTGCTACTGGTTACTGGCCAAATGGAGAATGGCAGGTTTACAAGTACTACAACCTCAATATGACCGGGCATCGCGTTGGAACCTCAGCGTCAGCAGATGGTAAATTGGACACTTATGCTACTATTGGATCGACCAAAGTAAAGATTTTGTGCGGAGTACGCATTACAACCGGAACTTGGCAAATCACGGTGAACAGTTTATCCTTTGTTGGATTACCAACATCTGGTACTCTGAACATCCAGACTTGGGGATTCCCAAATACTGGTGGCCCATTTGGTTCCGTTACAGCGCTCAACGATCTTGGTACTGTGGCTCATACTTACTCGGGGAATAGTGTGACTTTTCCTATTTATCAAGTGGATACGAGCACTGCGTATGCCTTTGAATTTAATGTCAGTTAGACAAGGAAGAAGAATGTCGGTGGTGTAGTTGTGGCTTTTATCGGGAATACTGAATACTTACATATGAGCAAAACCAATCGAGGTTGTTTTGAATACATAGGAAATTGACCAATCAATATATCTCTTGGCTTTAGTCGCGTGAGTCCGAGGTACAGTTTCTTTGTTCTGATCCTGATTTGGATTTCGTCATAGCCCCTCACCAAGCCATCGCTGCATTCTTTGTCTTCACAAATTTACTTCTACCATAACAGCTTCTCATTAATCAACAAACACAATAAAAAATCAAAACACGATTTCAAACCCAAGATAAAATGTCTTCAGATTCAGATAGTACGCCAGTACCCACAGTCTCCCGAGAGTTCAAAGGAGAGGCCGAACCAGTCAATCCTATCTCAACCGAAAATGCCAAGCCTTCACAGCCTGACGTTCACCGACTCAAGCTCCCCACTGACCATCGAGAAAGTACTATCTCTACACCCGACAGCATGAAAGTCGAAACTGGTAGTTCTAGCGATGGGGTTGCAGAAGCTGTCAGTCCTGTTGAAGGCCCGCCCACGAAATCTCAAGGCGGCGTACGCGAGGCTGAGGACAATAATAGTGATGGATCATGGGAGGAGGTGAGACATGAAGGAACCCGAGCCTCAGAGGGAGGAGAAACACAGGATAACAGGCCAGTTTGGGTAGGCCATGTCGAAGAGAAGAGTGTGACACAGGAAGAGGAAGGTTCGGGAGATATTGCTCCGGAGTTTCGACCGAGGACTCCAAGACCTTATGGCTCTCATAGTGAATGATCAAGTTTGTGAGGGTTTCGTTGAGACAGGGGAGTGGGATGGTAAGGTTTCTTGTTGAAGACGATTTCAATATGCGCTTTCAATTGAAAGGGTTAAACTCAATTCTCGTTGTCATCTCAACCATCTCATCGGGGAAGTCATTGTATGGAAGGTTCAAGGTACTCGGATATTTCGACCAAAAGATCCTTCTCATAATGCTGCATAGGTATTGTCTGAGGATCACTTAAGCTTGGTCGGGAGTGCAGGAAGATATGTAAAATCTCATTTGGGGCCATTCATCGTTATGCAGGTATAGCAGAAAATTTATGAACTTTTAAAAATGATTGATAATCTCAGTTTCTTGAATTTCTAGCCTAATTCCCGAAGGTTCCTGCCCATGGTGTTGTTACTTGAAGCCATATAAGCCACGCTAGATCTTTCAATGCGATTCTTGAAATATACGATTTGGGAAGTAGCGAGTTCATTGTCGGTGTGAATTTCGCGACAAGAACATCCAATGTAACTCCTTCCTATTTGTAGTCTATGCAGGATGATTTCTTCTTAGATAAAACACTTGTTCCTCTCACACTCATTTTGGTCAACATCATTCACCTCATCAATCCTTATTTTCTATTACCTACACGCGGATATAGCCTCTACTCACTCATTCATTCTCATTTTTTTAATTCAAGTCGCGGTTTGACCTTTCCGTCTTGCCGAAATCAAAACTTCTATTATCTGGAGGGTATCCAGCTTCAGTCCACGAATCTGTCATCAATCAACAATTTAGTTGAGAAGCTTGACTGTTCGCCATTTCGGTGACGCTACTTGATCGATTCTCAAAGACTTTTGGATAAAAATATCAGCACAGAGATATGGCTACCTACATACCTCCGAAATCCTACTCACTTCCACCGTCTACGGCTTATGTGTCATCAATAGTCATTCCACCTGCTCGACCTGCATCTTTAGACTCCATATCAACTGAAAGTTCATGTCCAAACGCAGGATCAAGAGCTTTAAGCGACTCTGATCAGACAACGAATATCGACGAGGACTCCCGTATCAAGCCGGTACAGCCTTGCAATGGAGAATCCAGGAAAGAAATTGCTAAAGGGGGGGACTCAACCACCGAACCCCGGCGGAGTTGTACTCAAAGCGCTGGAAGAAAAATTATGAAAAGCTCCAGTTATCGTATAGAGACTGAATATCTCAAAAGTCCCGCCATGCATGCCTCTTTCGAGTTCGATGATGCCAATTGGGTCAAAATCAAAACATTTCCTGAAAGAATCAAGGACGGCATTCGAACACTCTTAGAAAAGGGTTGGGAGTATGGTATCCGAAAAGAAGGTCCATGCTCGAAATCCGATGATGGTTATTATTCAAACTCAAGAAGAGACCATTTGGTAGCGGAAGTACGTATGTGGTGACTCGAATGACACGCAACATGATTGCGTACTTGGCTTCCGAGGGTTGGAAAGTACAACCTGTTGCAATCAATTTTAGATCCATACGACAACTTGAATTTTCGAAAATGTTGCAAAGGCCCTCCCAAAATGTTACTGGCTTGCTTTGACGTACGGGCATGCTGGGTAAGTGGTCTCTGAGAGATCATTTAAGCATTTTGGGTGGAGCAGACGAACTCATTGACACCATCCGCCTTACTTTGCAAGAAATGAATCTATTTTCAAGGCGCAAGAAGGAGCATGGTGATTCTGCGAAAAATTGGGCACCAATTCTCCATCAAGGGCTGCTTTCTCCGTTTCTGGAAGCCCTGAAAGAAAAAGACGATGATGCTCAGGATTATGGAGAGACTTGAGGAACGTGGTTGGGTCTTTATATATCGGCTGGCATCGAATCTATCGCGAACAGACAGATACGAACAGAGAATTGGGACTTGGTTGTGTGTGAAGAGTCGTGAATGGACGGCCTACTAATCCAGTGAAAATCCGCTGGCATAGTGATTTGAATTGAGATGCAACATTGAAGATAATGCAGGGCTTAGAATCGTATCGGAAGATACGAGTACAAATTGAAATTATCAAAAGATCATGAATATTGTGTATGTGATCATTATTTTCATGTAATATCCCATTCAAGAATCATCATGGTGATGGTCTTGTAAATGTACATCAGTGAATGAGTGTCATTGGCATGATTCCAAACTCCGACAAAAATGTTCTGTTCATAGCAAACATCATACACGATGACACTACGAAGTAAAACAAGGACTAAAAGCCCATTGTGAGATTGATTAATATTCTGTGGTATTTAATGGACACTGAGAACCCTACCGAACGCAACAACCTCATCCTCGCGTCTATGCCTCGTACGGCCTCCTCGTGTTAGATAGCTGATCGGAGAGACTTACAAATCATCCGTCCTTGTATTTTGTAGCAACAAATTTATGAAATCAGATACAAAATCGAAATGGGGCCGATTATGCAATTTAATGAGTTTTCGGGGCTCTTGGTGGATTAAAGTGTAAAAACATGGTTGACTTAGACGAAACTGTTCGATTCTTAAACGAGACCCTGAGAAATCACTGTGGTATAATATCGCTCCGCATTCTACTGAAGGTATTTGAAACTTTGGACACATTTAAACAGAAAAATTCAAAGAATTTAGAGCAATGAAGGTGCTAAAACTTTGAATCATTGATGAAGCCCTGGATACTGTATTGCATTGGATGCTTGTTGCAGTGTTAGATGAGATGGATAAACAGTCTAGTATTTTTGAGCTATTTAATTAACAAAGCGGAGAAGCTTTACTAGTGGAGCTCGTGGTGAAACCAGGCATTTCTTTCCCCCTCTGCAAAGGCTTAGAAATTCAAGCTCTAAGTGTATCTGTACTTGTTTCTTTCAGGCATGCGTAGATCCATTGGATGATCTCCTAGTTGATAAACCTTGACGGAATCAATCAGCCAGTACCTATCATATTTTCATGTCAGCGCTGATCTATATTACAATCCAACATAAAACTCACGCATCTTTGAAGGAATCTGAATTTGCCGCCACAAATTGTTCGCAAGTCAATTTTCCTCCTTGGCTGCAGATTCCACCATCCTTTCCCCAAACGCCTCCTGCAAATTCTCCACAGAAGGTAGTATCAAATACTAAACTCTGATTCGCGAAATGCTTTTCAATGTCACAGGAAGAAGAACCTTGGAAAATTGCTTGAGGCTTTGGCCAGGAGCTGGGTTCTGGGTTTCCTTCTTTGATATCCAACGGAATCGCATTGCGGGGAAAGAACCAAATCTTGATGTAATCTGAGGTCCATTCCGTGGCGTAGATGCCGCCACCATTGGAGTTGAAAGATTTGCCATAGGTAGAACGCTCCGCCTTGGCTGTTGAGCCGCAAGCCGGCATAGTTGTTCAACTAGTGATGTTATGATTAGTGTACACTGCGAATAGAAGAGGATGTCTTTCATTGCCATCACATTGATTGCTATTCATCGTACCTAGCTGTGTGTTGTCTTTGTTTGGCATGGTACAATCCGCCGAGCTTTCATTATTAGCGGGCCGAAAACATTGAAGAGGCAAATTGCTTACGTATGGAGAGTCATTATGTTGTCAATCTGTTGGTTGACACTTCGATGATATCAATTTCTCTGATTGCAAGTTAGACACTTCTCCAAAGGTTTGATTTTGGAAACAAACATACCCGTTATTCGGCCAGTTTGGGCCAACCACCAAACTATTTTGTGGGGTCGTCAATAGCTACTTTATTCAAACCGGTTCTTTGAAACTTACAAGCTGGCCATGTACCGCAAGCTCCACCAGGCATGTGCAAATATCTGCAATAAAACAATCCATGTGTCCATGATTTCTGACTCACTATGCGTACACTTTTGCGTCCTGGACCAGCAGGATCTAAACAGTAGTATGATCGACTCCGATATATACTGGTCCATGCGTATCTGTATTGAGGAGTTGATTTGTTCTCGCAACACCTTCGTCGACATAATCTGGGAGGGGCGGTTAGTAGTGCTCATATTGAAAGGATGACTGACTAACGTAACGTAACCATGAGTGGGATCTGGATCCTATAAGATTTTAGCAAGAAAGAGGATTATTAGAGTAGAAGATACCATAAGTTTTTTACAGTAAAAATTGCCATCCACTGAGAAAGGTTGCTCCTTCATATGTAGAGTCCAGATGGTACCACTGTTTGGGATCTGCTCTGACACCTACGAACAATACCCAACAGATTGAGAGGAATAGGCGAGTTAATATCATAGTCAAGGATCTATAACAACTCAATGGAATGAAATATAAGCAGCTTCCACAAGATTTGAGGATGTGATTTTCAAGTGAACTGATTCCTACCAGCAAGTTCGTGTCACGAATCCACAATAACATTGAGTAGCATTCCACAGGAGCAGTGGCACCACCACAAGTATATATCTTGATGATGTACCTAGGTAGACAGTATTACATTTAATATGCAATCTCTCAAATCATCTCAGTTTCTCAGATATATGAGGGGCAGTCAGTGAATGCATTCACTTGGGTTTTTATGATGAGTGTAATTGATCCTTTAGCCCTAGGCCCGAGGATTGTTACACCTCAAATATAAACCCCAATTTCCAACACAAAGAGACCTCATCTCACGGTAATCAATTGAAATGACACTGGTCAGATGTTCAGACTTTACTAATGAGGGCCTGAAGTGGTAGTGCACAAGCTTCTTCATGTGTGGAAATGATACTGTCTTAATCGAATTACCAATTTCTTTTCCCGGGAGAACATGAAAACTTCAAGCTCTCAATTCCATGTGGGAAATTAGATCGCACCAATATTCACTTTAATTCGCACAATAGTCCCTCCGCGTTCTGGTTTGATTTGAGTAATGAGTACTAGAAAGTTTTGCAACGTCATAATCTCAGAATGGAAATGAAATTCATGTTTTCGGTCCCTCAAACCTTTCTGTGGTGAATATCAAACTCATCTGACCCTCTCCATTATGATGAGTACCTAGGGTATGAGGAGTAAGGAAGACTGTGGATGTAAATTTGACATATCACATGCAATTTACATGCGTGATTGACCCTTCTGCAGTGCGCTTATAACTCCTGCTTCCGTCCATGAATTTCAAAACCGTGCGGCGGGAGACTATATGGAATTGGGGGGTTTACCAATCTCGTTACCATCTAGGGGACGAGGAAATTTCAATGTTTCGGCTGTGAAGGGGTTTTTCTCGTCTATCTATCGGCAAAGTTCTCCGATGATAAATTCACCGACCTTGTTGCTTATGTAATCGAAGTTTGTGTTTTTGGCCTTCCTGAGTAGCTCGCATCACTTCAACAATTTATGTTTTGAGAAGTCTCAAATCATGGTGATTTTCTGGTATTGATGGGAATTTCTGCTAGCTTTCCGCGTGATGTCTCATCGACATTGCTCTGTATGGTGGCATGGAAGCTTGTGGAAATTCATCAAACTGCCATAACACAGCTCTGCCCCAGCCGTTGTATGAGCACCCAGACATGCGCTGCGATGCTACCCCTAAAAATGATACTTGGTGGTTGGCTTTTGCATCATCAACTTTAAAACCTGGCTTCTTCAGTGTCATATTGTTAGTGATCCCGATCCTCTCCTCCATACAATCCTTTGATCCTCTCAATAGGTTTCCTCTCTCATCACTTGGGGTCAATCCTTTACCGTTCTAGGCTTCGCATGCATCTTCTAGGATTGCAGTTCAATTGTTGAGAACTTCGGTCAGCTACAGAGCATGGCCAGAAAGGTTGGAATAATGCCATGCTTGAAGGATGAATGTGATGCATGGACTAACTGGTATGATGACTACAATACACCCGCGTGGTTCGAACACACTCGAGATGCAGAGTCTAGGGGTTTACCCTCTCGATTGGATCCGATGAGTCTTCACTTGATTGACTCCACGTGAAGACACTTTCAGGGGTCGATTTTGTTTTGCACATCCCAATCTTTTGATTGTGCGTTCAACACTTAACATTTCTACCAATAACTTATCACTAGTTTTCTGTTTGATTCTTTTGAGATTGGTAAGCGCGATGGTTACTTTGTGCTGATAAATTAGAATCTAGCGGCTTGTCAAAAGGATAACTTTCCAGGCAATTGAGAGCCTTGTTGAGTTGACTCAAGAAATTTTCTTGAAACTGGCTTAGAACAAGGTTTGTTCAAAAACCGTTTGACCTGTCACCAGGGGAGCCAAGATACAACTTGTGTGCTACACAGACATGAATAGTATCAACCAACGTTTGCAGTATTATCAGTAGTTTGCTTGTTGGTTGGTACGGGTATAGATACGACTGTCTGACCCCTTTATTAGCTGCCTATTGAATCAAGTCTATCATATCTTAATCTCATTAGTATTAGCTTTTTGTATATAAAGAACCTAAAACAATCTATCATTTTACTCCAAGTCAAGAATGATCCTCATTTACCTCACAGGATGTCCCAAATACAAAGCAATACAAGAATATTGTTTTATATGGAGTGAATAGTTGATAATCACTTGTGCTGGTATGTGAACATTATTGACCATTAACATACTCTCGGTGTATGTCAACCAATTTCCGAGGCATGGAGTCTACAGTAGGGTCCGAACGATGTTAGTAAAGACCACTTCCTTTAATTAAGTTTAAGATAATGCAATTAACAACCTCTGCCTGATAGCATCTTTCAGCTCCACATCAAAAGGTCTGAAAACAATAATTCTCTTTATACTCACAGATCAATCATGTTACCCAGTAATCTAGCTGGAAGCTATCGCCGCTACAAGGAAGACACCAATGTATTTGCGACATGGTTGTTGAATACTGCAGAGACTTGTGGATACAATCCGGGATATGTTGACGAAACTCCCAAGCCGCAGTTAGCGCAACCAAGCACTAGACTCAAGGGGAAGGCAAGAAAAGAAGCAAAGAAAGCTGCAACCAATTCTGCACCAATTGTACAAACTAAGCTGAGGTATATCTCGACGAAAGAGATATTGCTGCAGGCAGAAATTATTGCAAAACACAAGCGGCCGCCCGTGGAAATGCCAAAGAATATTCGTAACACCTTGGAGCGTGCGATAAGGGCACGAACACGCTGTGCCAGTGTAAGAACACCTTACTCGCCTTCAAGCGAAGAATGTTTAACTTCAATATGACGTCATGCTAATTAAACGCACAGTGGTTTCGTAATATCGAGACGGACCAGCACACCGATAAATCCAACCGCACACATGCGTATTTTATCTCAATACTTGAGAAGGCGCTTGATACACTCGAGCCTTGTACTAGAAAAGAAAAAGATGCTGGCTCTAGTTCTGATTCTCAAATACGAGGCAGCAATGCAGCTCATAGCACAAACACCTATGGCATGCTGGAGGTTGAAGATGTTGGTGCGGAAACCCCCGATATCACGGTTGATGACATCATCACTGCATCTAAGCCTAACGCACAGAGACATCTGAACATATGTGAGATGGAAATCGAGGATAAGATAGACTTAGAATTTGTCGTCTTTTGTTTCTTCGAAGATTTACAGCGCATACAGGAGTTCTTGAAAGAGACATGGAAATTAGTTATGAAGGAAGAGCTGGACGCCATAACCGCTTCTCTCGTGTCTAACCTGGCTTTCAGTCTTGCTCGTCAGATTGAAGATGAGCTTACCACAAGCCACCCAGAATTCTTCGGTGTTATTCCATCTTATGTTAAGATTGCGGGAATTCTACATGAAGTCAACTTCGCCAAAGACAAGCTGGATCAACAAGATAACAAGTCGAAGAGATCTACTTCCGACGAGTTTGTGTACCTACTCCATCTTTCGTATTCTATCCAAGTATCTTCAATACGGACACACTCAAAGTGACGGTGCACAGTGTGTCATACCTATCAGCACTCTTTTATCTGCAAATACTTGGTCTACGAACAAACGGGTCGGCATATCATGCCAGCCACAGCCTCCGCCATTGATGACTGGGAGAATGAGGACCAATTGCTTTCTCAGATTTTACTCGATGTCACGAACAAGACATTTTTGAAGTATCATCATGAGATACACTTCAGCGAAGAAGTAAAAGAGCAGAGACGTATCGCTGAACGAATCATCTCATCACCATTTGAAGATGAGTTAACGAAAGGTCTGATGTCCACCAATAAACCGGCAATATTAGAGTCTCTATCGTATTTGGAGCTAGAGCTCTTATGGATATTTCGAAGATTCTGGGCGATGGCGCTGGTAAGTCTTACGAAAGCTTGCGCCTAAAGGCATCTATTGCGTCAAACGCTTTATGGATCCGCTTCGACGCTTCAACCGAGCATGGTTTTCAGAATAGTCTCAGAGAACTGAATGGAGATTGGATCACACCGGAAATAACGCAACGAGCAATCATCTTTCTCAGTTGATTCAACAAACTGTCAAGGAAAACGCCTTCGTTGTCATAAAACATAGGCACTTGCGAGACACGGCCGAACAACATTCCAGAGCATCACCCTCTCTTTAGAGAGTTCAAACAGCTACAGCCTGAAACCATCTGGCCTTCAAAAGATCGAGCATTCTACTACAACAATAACCCGACTTACTGTGGGCTCGAATGGTTTAGAATTGCCATCCAAATGAAAAGGAGGGTGTTGATCTTTGCAACACGTTTACATCATTTTTTGCGGTTGCACATCTTTACAAACGCGCTAAAACAAGATGGTCTTGTTGAGAGTAACTGGGCCGTATTGGATGGGGCAGTAAATCTCAACTGAAACATCTCTTCAATGACATCTTACCCCACCACGCATAAGCAAATAATCAGTCGGTTTATCATGAAGTTGGGTGTTCCAGCTAGCGCATTTGCACCAAATTGTCGCTCAGCTTCAAGCGCAAAGAACTTAGGCGTCAACTTTGTCAAGGGTACAGAAAACATGCTCAAGACTACCGAATTTTCTGGCGCTTTGATGAGCTACCTCGAGAACCCAGTTGCTGCTGATACTCTACTCATACAAACTCAAAAGCATGGCCGCAAGAACGATGACAACAAGAAAGCTAAGGCTCGTCAGGGAACCCCTCTTGAGATCCTTACAGAGATGAGGATTTGGTTACCGCAGATCATCGCCAGAGTCGAAATACCGTATATCAAGCTTATACGCCAATGCAGCCTGTTACTATTACGTATTCGGGAAGCTTTAAACGAGGAACTTGGGATGGACAACAAGAACGGTCTTGTCGACTGTGCTGAAGCCAACCCGAAAGAGAATGTTCTGACGGTTTTGCGGATTCTGGGCGAGGCTTACGGGATAGAACTCTGGTCGGACAATGCACGCCGCAATATACTTGGCAACACATCTATACAGCTAGAAACACCTCAATTGCTTATAGCCGCTCGAGTTACACGAGAATTCCTTGTAAATATTGTAAAAGAGGAACCTATCAAAGCGTTTGATGTTCCCGAGGCGTTGCAACTGAAACGTGAGTTGAGCCAAAAAGGACAAGATCTGCAGAGGAGATATATGGCAGGCGACCAGAGTGCAAGAAGTTATCGACGGATTGAGAAGGCATTTTCGGAGGCTTCAATATAGATATCGATGCCAAAGCCATGTGATTTTTATCAAGGGTTTGGATCGAATACATATGTAGTAATAGGAATCGTTCAGAATTCAATATTTAATCACATCTGAGCCTGAAACGATCAAGTGATTTCAAAGTGCCACGTCTTCAACCAGAAAGGTAGGATCTAATCCGAGCACAGAATCGCGATCCGCCAAAAGTGAAAGCTAATAAATCTTGAGCGACATTATATTAGGCATGGCTGTTATTTAGGTTTTCCTCTTCTAATTCGGCGCTACCTTACGTAATATATTTCCTTGCCGGTCCGGTGCTCTAAAAGCATGCACATTAACCTTCTCGTTTATTCCTTCAAATTTAGCGAACAAAATTTGAGCTCACTCGAACTTGAACATTAACATTTGTGATTCGGAATAAATTTTCATCTTGAATTGTATTGCTCACCTTGTTCTATAGCCGTAATGCTTGTGGCGAACACAATCAGAAACTCTCTCACAACTCCACTACCCCTGAACAAGACCACTTCTGAAGTTTAGTGAAATCCAGTTTTAGAGTGCATTAAATTACAATGATATTAGGATATCATACAGCTATCGACTTCATTTTCTCTTCTTTAACCGAGCGTCTCGTGATGGCAAGATATAAATCCACACATGAGTTGATAACCATCAAGTTGACGATTATAGACGTACAAGAGCTTGTTACGGCGGATGAACAAAGAGCAACAGATATAGACGTAGATCTGCTACTTATTTGTAGTTTGGTTTTATATTTGAGGAAGATTAACTAAAGTTTCGTCCGTAAGCTTCGCCTGGTTTTGTCCCGCGACAGACAGTTTCAAGTTCGTTAAGTTCCGTTGAGTCGTGGGAGCTTGCTGCACAGTTGCCCAAGTGATACCTGCAATGATAAATACATACATATATACATCGTTGATAGAGTTTTCTTAGTTTTTCTAGTGTTGCTTTGAGAGCCGTCATATCGAGAGCGAGAGCGGAGGGGACCAAAGATCTCACCATGAGAGTCAAATAGGACAAAAGTTGTGGTAACGGGGAAAGTATAAGACCACCTCTCTAGACGTTTCTAACAATATGATTGCATGATGGATAGATTTGTCAAGAAACAATTCAACATTGTCGAAGCGTGGTCAAAGATGAGAAGCATTTTGACATTAGAACCAAGCCGATATAGGTTTCTGTGGTATTCATATTGTCTATCTGTTAATTGCCACAAGTGATTTCCGACAGCAATATGAATGATATGCCGCGACTTAACGTATCGAAATCATATAATAGCAGAGTAATGTGAATCTGAACTTTGATCAGGCTCTGGGTACCGGAACAGCTGTGGTCGAGAACGCAATGTCTTTAACACAAGAGCAGATTGCTCTGCTCAATTTGTTGGAAGAAATACTCTGCCAGAGCAGAGAATTCGAAACTATGGTACAGACTATAGATTATATTCACGTTGAAATTTCTAACCAGAGTTAATTAATAGTGTTCCAATGACTCAGCTGGACCTATGAACATCAATAGCTCATCATTTGAATTTACCTCGATTAAATGATCTAGTCCGGGCTGCTCAGCTTACACCTTGTGATGCTGACACGGGGACATAGTTGAAACAAAAGTCGACCTTGAGAATTGTATTATTTCAATGTGAGTTTGTAGTAGATTCCCACATTCGTAGCTTCGATGTCGAGAACAGTCAATCCGAAGCGAGCACATCCACATTCAACGCATCCACATGAATGTATAACTGCGAGCCTCAAAACCAATCAATGTATCTTTGACATTCACGTATTCAGCTTCAATAGGAGGCCAATCATGGGGTGGCGATTGTAGTTGTGTTAAGAAACGAATAGCATAGCCTCAATGTATTCTCAAGTTTTCAAAATGGCCCCTCCTGCCCAGGGAAAAATGCATCATGAGACTCTCTGAAAGCTACGGACTTGATACCAGAACAACGTTGTGGTTTATCGTCTCCGCTATCTTTGAGCACTGATACCAAGCAGGGAAACATTTCTGGACGCTATCATTTGAGCGTCCAGCGAATGATGGGGTTGAAAAAACCTATAGAAACCCGTACTGGTAAATTTGATTGTTTCAATTGTCAAAGTCGTGTTGTGTGCCGATTTGTTGGTTGCGCCATGTCGCGTTGCTTCAAGGTTCTCACGCCTATAGAGTTGAAAATTATAGCACCCCACACACTAAGAATCGGAAACACTCACTAAGCCTAAATAGTCCTAGATAAACTTTTTCACCACTCACCGCCAGCTACGTTGACAGCGGACCCATCGTCGACAGCCCCATTTTGACAAGCCCAATTGCTCATGTTTGCATAAATCGTAAATATGTATGTGATTCACATAATAAGATTAATGCTGCTGATAAGTTAATGAGGGGCGAGTTATCTGCAATCTTTAGAATCATCTATCAATGTTGTGAGAAAGCAATTCATCTCGAAGAAACATCATCCACCGTCAAACTTTTATATCACTCATTAGAACCTCGGGAGCGCTCACCGCAACATGATTACCTGATGACTCTTGATAACAGAGGGGAACATTAGTTCTGCTACTTCTTCCTCTCTCATTTTACTTCTTTCTTGCGTACGCTACATACATATATCTACCCTGGAGGTTGATGTAAGTATTCTTAGTCTCAAAGAGCCGACTTGATATTGACTTTAGAACAGTATCTTTTCGCATCCCCCCCTCAATACACCTCTACGCCGTGTCCCTCTCTACGTTCACTCATTCGCAGAAACAAAATTTCCTCGAGATAGACAGGCCACAAAGCAGTGCAGTAACGCTAAGACATTACGAAATGGGTCTCGAGAAGCTCTTCGCTGTCGCAGCGCCGAAGAAAGGATCATCGAGATCATCGTCGAATCAAACGTCCATAGCACCGATGCATCTTGAGCAAATCTTTCGTTTCCCTGGAGTCTTGACCGAAGTTTCGAGCGTTGTCAAGAATCTATCAGAAGGTTACACAACATATCAAAATGGGGCAGCGCTCAGGAATCAGCTGGAATCCGTTGTGCCGGAGGTGCAAACATTTGCTTCAGGGATGAACCGATATTTGAAGAACAAGAACTGGTTGGATTTGTTTCAAACCTTCCTGGTGGGGGCGAATGTTGTTGCTGCTTTCATGGAAGTACTGCAGGGTTCAACTGGTCTTGAAGAAATCGGGTTAAAGATTTATGGCGAACTCGAAGCACAGACAGGACTTGCTGCCCCTGATAAATTCGCGAAGCATGTTGACAAATATATCCGGAAAGAGGCAGCGAGTGTCTATGGTGGTGACGAGGAGCATCTCTACTTCCTCTATCACCCGGATACAGATTGGCACGGCGAGTTCCACGATATTGTTCAAAACAAACCGGTGCCAAGTAATTTTGTCGGCATGTCCGAGAATCTTCACGCTCTGTGTACTTGGATGTTATTTATGCGGAAACGACTTGAGAGATCAAGGATCAATGCACGTTTTCATCTCCTGATTCCTGCGTATAGACCCATGGTTGTTAGGACGGCTTTTGTCTTTCCAGAAGAACTCTACCCTTTGACCGTCCGTGGACACATTCACAACTCGAAAGAATACGTCTGGTTAAATCTCCCTACGATGAAAGATGTCCCTTCCGACTTGTTCGAAATGTCAAATGTGGGCAATATTGCTGCTTTACCAAAGCCACCGGCACTATGGCAGCATGCGTTGACCTGGGTAGGGAGTATGGTAATGCCGAGAAAAGAGCCACCCCCAATTGTTCTAGGAAGGGGAAACATTAGTCCTAATGCTCCTATCTCATTGGAAGATAATGAAGACGAGAAACTCGAAGCACCAGAGGATATCCAGATTCAGCCTGAAACACGACAGATAGTAAGAGGCGAGAAGAGACGAAAGCATCGAAGTTCACGACCGAAGGGCGACTTGAAACAGTATTGAAATTTGTTGTTGCGATGTGGAATGCGGATTTCCTCACAAGTATCTCGTGTGCGCTACACGTGGGAATTGAACTGGCTGCGATGAGTGTATCTACAGGAGATGTAGTGAAAGCAAGACGGATGGAAATGAGTGATGAACTAGATACCAAATACAAAAGGAAGGAGTAAGATAGGAGAACATTTGTGATTTGCGGCTTGGATAGCTTCGCGTTAGCCTCGGCACCGACCTGAAATAATCAAACTCATAAATTACTCTGGGAAGTGGCGTTCGCGATTATTTTTCTTTTGTTATGCGATACCAGAGTAGAATAGAAGTACAGATATCATGAAGGATTCTCTTAACAGGTTTTATACATTCGTCGATGTGGCATATCATACCCAAAATTCCAATTAAAGAACTCTGGGAAAGTTCCTGGCCATGTAGACAGCTCCAAGCCACTTTTATAGAGGAGAGAGATTGACCTAAATCTATCATCAAGGCTTCAGTCGGCGATAGTCAATTGGTTTTCATGCTGAAAGTCCCATGACTAGATAGTCGTCGAGCCTGAGCTTAGCGAAGTCTTCAACTATCATTCAACCCCTCACCACAAGGTTAGTCAATCGAACGTAAAAACTTTATTTCATCTTGGTGAGTTGTGAGATCTACAACTTTCGCTAGTAATACATGCACGGATGTTCAAAGAATATCCAGTCATGTTTCTTAAGCGGTAACATTCGAAAGGCCAACGATGTCATGGCACCCTCTCACCTCACAAAAGAACAACGTCTGCTCAAAAGCAGAACGACTGCGTGTAGAATACCTATTGTAACCTGGAGATACCAGGCAGCTTAGTTTTTGACTATTTTTGACTACCTAGGTATTTTTGGACTATTTTTATGCACATATGCTCATGTCAGTTGACACAATGAAGCACTGACGGCTCGGCTCGCAAGCTGCGACGAGTCATGATAGATTGCTGGAAGTGGCTTGAACAAAGGATAATGAAGCCAAGTCTAGAAAATAGAGTAGAATTGTTTTTGCTTTTTCAGCAAAAAGTGGTCTAGACAAGTCGATGTGTATCCGTCTCTCAAATACATCAGGTATCATCGAGGAAACTCAAAACTCTAATATCGGCGAATAACTTTCGGATATCTAGGTTAGAATTTGAAAAGAATTAGCATCGCTTTATGAAACAGTAGATAGATGGGGTACCCCTTTTTATATCAAGCACTACGCTTGATACGATCAGGAGCTTCAGATCGTATTCATTTTTCCATAAGCATGAAAAACTTCGTTGAAATTTAGTCTTCTATTTGTGTAGAGGTGCATTGTTTAGCCAGGGTTTACTACATCACTTTCATCACTTGTTTCGCTTGACTTAATGTGTGACCAATTCTTGGTGTGAAGTAAAGGCTCAGAAAGGTGACAAGAAATTGCTGCAGCGTGTTTGAGAAACCATTCAGATTTTGGATGCATGCAGGCTTCTTACATAAGTCACCATGCTCTGCTTATGTAGCAAGTCTGTCTCTGTGTACCTGGGCCTACCAGTAGAATCCGAACACCCGCACTACCATCTAGCTTCTTCCATGTGCTGGTACTTGGCATCTTCCTCAGAAGTCCTCATCCTCTTCATATTCATCTTTCGAAAATCTATCCCTTGTCACTTTTTCGGCCTTGATCCTTGAATCCTTCTCCAATGTCTTGAGGCGCAGTGGGTATTGTTGTCTCCCTTTTGCTTGTACTGAGAGTGCTTTTTTCGAGACGTCCTCTTGATGGTCTGGCTCACGCCTTCTTATGATGCGTGTAGCTCTCTTTCTTGGCGGAATAATATTTAGGAAGCGCCTACGCTCCTCTGCTCGCATCGCAGGTAAAGAAGCCAGCGTAACATCTCCTCTTCGCTCGTCTTTCCTTCTCCCCTTGCCATTATTGTCATTCTTATCATCATCGTCGTCGTTGTCGTCTTCGCCATTGTCACCACCACCATCATTTGGATTATCTGCTGGTCTCGCAGCTGGAAATCTTCTAAATTTAGTCAATATTGCCGGATTATGAATAAAGATGAAGCTTGCTTTAAGCCACTCCTATGAGATCTGGGGCTATCAAAATTCCTGAGTGCTGGAGATAATAGAAGACAGTTACTTACACATCACGGCATACGGGACATGACTCCGTTGAAAACAATCTTCGCTGGGACCTATTATGTAGTGTTATATCATTGTGTACGCAGTACTCCTCCTCGCCGATGTGGTCCTCGTTGATGTGCTGCTCGGCAAGCAGTGGCGTGAACAAGAATATTATGGCCTCGCGGGCATAAATTGGTGTAGTAGGACACACATCGCTGTTCAAAATTGTTTTATTGCCTTAATTGAAAGTCATGTATGATCTTAAGATTAAGTGGATATGAGAGCCTAAACATTGTAGCTATATATTCAAATCCTCATAAAGAGTAGAATGGCTAGAACAAGCTTTATTAAAATCCCTAAACGAGGTTGAAAGCAAGAACGTTTTGATTATATAATTCTCTATTGAGCAGACCCTATTACAAGCAACTAGACGAATTATTACGGATTAGTTTGAACGTTCTGGAAGAAGTCTTGTTTCTTACAGTATCATTTGAAAGAATAGTTTTTTGAAAATAGAAATCCAGCTCAAAGGTCACTGTGGCATTGCTACTCTGATCAACCTGACTTTGATAGCGTTGAATGAAATGAGACATGCGACATTGTTATCTGTCGACATGACAAACAGGTCCCTTGAAATTGCATGACAATATCTGAATGGAATCACTCAGCATCTGGTGTTCTTTTTATACAGCGGTACCAAATAGTGATGATATACAACCAATGAAAACAAGGATGAATCTAGCATCTTCACATCTTCTACTTCCTCTATTTTATTTCCCGGGAAGTCCTTCGGGAGAACATCCTGAAATTTGTATAGAAAATCAGAAAGCTGCTGTTATTAAAACGCGATCAGTGAGAGCTTCAAAGTGGCAGTGGAACCTCATTTTGGAAGTTGGAGTTCTCCACGGAGATGTTGATAAATACAAAATGGTTCGCCATGATTTCTTGGGATCTTTTTGTGCTTAGTTATACTGATTTAAATGATTGAAAGCTTTCTGACTATCGAGTGAGGCCATAAGTCTCAGTTTGAACAATATCATATCACTGACGGAAGAGGATTTTCTATTTTGTGGGCAATCAAATAATTTCCTTAAGGTGCACCAATAGACCCAGCCATGTTAGAGGTCTATTTCTGTAACAAGTAAACATTGGATCTTCTCAGTTTACTTCGACCACTACCATCCATGGTATTAGCCCACTAATTTCCTTGCCTGAATTGTTCTTTGCTTTTGGTAATGGGCATTTTTTCTTCAAACTTCTCATTTCGAACACGTCCACGTTTTGCTGGGGCATCATTCGCCGGCATTAAACCCTTGCAACCCCTTCCGGTGTTCCTACCGCGTCTTACTGCAGCCGGAACTTGGAATGCCCACTCTGAGTCACTGTACATTGATCCATTTCGTCTGTTTCCTCCTTTTTATCATTCTCCTGCTCGTATGCTTCCTCTTTCTTTACCACTATCGTCGGCTTATCTTCTCCTACTTCGTCTTCCTCGTCTCTCTCATTGACCAGGGTCACGGCCTCGGCAGCGTCTTCTTGGTCTTCTCTTTGTCTAACAATATTAGATTAGTGATACACACTAAATTGCATCGAGACTCGCGAAGTGATTCATGGTTTCTCCAGCGCCTCAAAGAAGGGCCGGCACTTGAGATACTGGCGATAGAATAAATGAAAATATATCACTACTTGCTTCTCTATTTCGCAAAGCCTACAATATTCTCTCGCGTTCCTACTTTTCCTTATATTGCCCATTCTTACTTCTTCGATGTCGCAGTATCTGAGCGGTCTGCAACTGTTTGCATAGTTACAGGCTTTGGTGAAAACGAGAGAACATTCGTGACCTTCAAGACAAGTCTAAATGTAGTAGATGCACATTTTCAGTTGGAAGTGGGCTTTCAAGAGAAACTGAATAGAAACCAAAACCTTAGACCAAACTGCAGAAGAAGAAGCAATACTTATGTGTAGAGATTTCTACAAAGATAAATTTTAGGACAATTGGGCTAGCCAATTTTCAGGAACTTCTTCGTGGATCGTTCACAAAAAGAGAAAAATTAGAATGAATTGCTTTGAGATCTTGTAAAGCGCCTTTTACCCCCATGTAGTATTGTTCAAGAACGAAACTCAAATGAAAGAACTGGCTTGTAGTTTACTCCAATGTTTGTTTCTCAAGTTGGAGATCTCAAAAGTGATGTCATTCAATGTGGATTCTTATTAGCAACTAATTGTTTTAAATGCTCATTAGTATCAAACTTAACCCTGTGGAAATGGCATGCGACATCATCTGATGGTGGTCCCAGTGGAATAATTTCTGTTAGGAATGAACTGAGCTAAATAAGGGGCCAAACATTTGGCACAATTATACCCCAAATTAGTATTTTCCCTCATACCTTTATTAGAGAGATGCGTGAAATATGAGCCTGTTTGATATCTCTTTGAAAATTTGTTCCTGCAAGCTGATGATCTAAGTCAGGATGCTTGCATGGACTTTTCTTAGTTAGTTTAGAAACACTTTCATTTCGATCACAGGTTCTTGTACAAATTCAATAAAAGCTCCTTTTGTCTAATGCTAGCACCATTATGATTTATGCTGATCTAACCATTCGATATGTGACTGTATATCTACTCCTCCCTTGTCAGCCATCCGCATTGAATAAAATTCGTTCAACAGAAATGCAGTCAAGATGGCCGATAATTAAACATTACTTCTTGCGGCATGATTATCTAATCACCAGCTCTGGAACACTCTTCAGCGTGTATTCCGAGAGGCGCTTGATATTTGGAGCACCAGAACTTTTACTTCCAAGTGACTGCTCATTAGTTGTGTTTGGCTTCTGCGACCCGTTATGATGTGTCTTGAGATTGCATCGCGTGTCTGGGGCAGTTATTCTGTCGACTTCACCCCGTTCCACGAAGCCCCAAAGGGTTCGAGGTGAGCTGCTATGGCCCGGAAGACGACATGCCATCCCGACCACCGCAATCGGATCCTAGATCTAGGTGGATTCTGCGTCTTTGAAAACTCATGACCACCTGTGGCAGAAATAGGGCATTTACTCACGGCTGTCATGATGCTGCTGCTTCAAATGAAATCCGAGTCTTGCTATGAAACATGAAAGCGCTTGCAAAAAAGCAAACACTAGAAGTGAATGGTGATAGATAAATGCTGAATTGCATGTCGTTCTTATAGTTCTCAATCAAGAGCAAGGTCCTAGTGGCTCTTTCAGTAGTTATGAACAACAAACATAGTTTAAGGTCTTTTTGGTTGCAGTAGCATCGCCTATACCTGCAGAGCGTTGCATCTACAGATGTGATTGATTTACCCAAATGAGTTGTTCAAGGTAATCACGCACCAGAATGAAGTAGGAGGGAATATCTTGATTCTACCGGTCACTACTTGTCACAAAAATTAAGCAAGTAAGACTCCGATAATCCAAATAAGCTGCATGAAGACTTTTGGTGGGTCCGAGAAGATTTTTGAATCATCAAGACTCGCTATTGTGCAATATGGCCAAGAGCTTCCAGGTCTGGCACTCATAAGATAAGAAATCAAACTTCATCAAAGGGCTCCAGGGATTTAGTGATCCAATAGAGATAAAGCGGATGTATTGTAATAGTGCTATCGGTAATGCTGTCAGCCTGGCAGTGAGGTCCACTTGACCAGAAAATATGGGTTTCCGTACCTTGATACTAAATGAATTTAGCGTACACCTTTATTACTGTTCCGCGCAACTCTCCAACTTCTGGAGAACAGTACTAATATTCAAGGACCAAAATTTGTGGTGATGACCTCTTTCGCAGGAATTATTGTTCATTTCCGAACGCTGCGTATGGTCCATCCAAAGCAGGTGTCAATTACTTGTCTTGCAAGATGCACTTTGAGCACGAGTTCCTAACAGCATTTGCCCTCAATCCAGGGTAACATCTCTCAATAACCTCCTCTTTCATCTGTCACTGACTGTCAGGCAGATGGGTGCGGACTGATACAGGAAATGCAGGGGCTCAAATGATTGGATTAAAGGAAGCATCACTATCAATAGACGAGAGTATAGCTGGCGTGGTGAAAGTAGTAAGTCCAAGTTGAAACAAAATAGAGGGTGCTATTTTTGTTAGCTGACTCCTACAAATTGATGCTGCCACCAGAGAGCATACCTCGGGCAAGTTCATGGAGCACACCGGCAATGAATTGGATTGGTAGGGCTGAGTACAAATGATTCATTTCCAAGGTAGATAGTGGGCTTCCGACCTTGCTCATTCTGTTGAGCAGATGTATAGAATCCTGAATATATAAATCACCGTCTCTATCACTTACTAAGAGTTTCATGTTCAATATAGTTTCTGTCTTACCCATAATATTGGCATGTCTTCACCAAACATTTTTGCGTGCTTATCTCGACTTTCTGCTTCTCCAACCAGATCCTACAGCCAGATATCTCTTGCAAAAGTTTCCCTAATTGTATTCTTGCTTAATTTGCTCCAACATTCATAATCTCGTGCTTGTTTAAGAAGCATCAGGGTTGTATCATTCCAAATTTTCATGGAAAGTTTCTGTCCAACGGGCTCAGTAATCTTGACGCAAATGAGAATGAAGCATGGAAAATTTGTTATCACAATACACGAGAAACATGGGTAGCTTTGTAATAAATAGAAATGTTTCTGTCATGCAGCTTGTCATATTACGAATTTTATCTTGATATCCATTGATATGAAAGAGCAAGCATAATATCAAATCCTGAATTCAAGACATCATCATCTCTGATCTACACGAGCGCGGTAGCTAGCATCCACCACCGTCATCCATACCATCGCAATCACCTCGCCTATCACACGGTTTATCTGAAGCATGACTATCTTCGAAATGGATCTTTCTATTTGATTCATGGCGAATATTGTTGGCCGTCGTCTGAGATTGAGAAACAATCTCTTGTTCACTGAGGATTGTCCCGATAGGAGTGGACATTGCTTCCTTTCTGCCTTGCATGAGTTAGCTGTAGGGAGCTGAATAATGAATGTGGACACTGTTATTTAAGTGTTAGAAATACTTACACGTCTTGTTCTATATTGGGATGACATCTACGGCAAGGTTCAGGATACATCTGATGAGTAGATTTTTGAAGTTGTGCTTGACCTGCTGAGTAGATGCTGCAGGGAATGAAAGTTGACCGTGATCGTGCACATAAGTAAATTGCATCGAGCTTTATCCAATGTGCAGCCTTGGCTGGGCAGGTTACGATGTCAAAATTACACATTGTGTAGTTCAGATATCTGGGAATAAGTTCGTGGGAATTTAGTAGGGACGAAGACAGATAAGGATTCAAAAACTTGATGTAATATCGTTATTTTAAAACAAATGTGGGGAAATATATAGCCTAGTGTTCCGTACACATATTCTAGAAGCTGCCGGATCCAAGAATTAAATCACTTTTATCCTCCCCCCCTCTTTCTCCTTATCTCTTTCGTTTCCAGTCCCTCTTTATTCACCAAGAGGAAACGTTCGTATACTTATCTCTTCCCAGTTCCTTCTTTCCCAGTGTTGGAAAGCCTCAGATCAGACCATACGATTATGCATAAAGGCTATTATGGCATTTTAGATTACGCACAAAACTTGCCCAGAATCTCCGGCAAATAATATTCTTGCAGGCCCTGAAAAATTGGAAGCTTTTTGCATAGACTCAAGCATTACTTTATTTTAACACAAGGAAATTCAAGCAGGTATGAAAGCTTTTCATAAGACAAATTTCTACCACGAAAACAAACTCCCACACAGAGACCCTGAAGCAGAATTTCCTTTGAATATATGATACTTCAAAGATGTGATTTCAAACAGTAAATTCCATTCAAACAATCACATACTTTTCCATATTATTTTGAAGTTCTCTTGTGCACTTCCATAAGACCTCAAATTAAAGGCTTGAGAGATCTTCTTCATCAGTTCTTTCATCTTATCATTCTGAGCCTTCCAGCTCATTCTGAATTTGGAAAGACAAATGAGAAAAACTAGAAGTCCTCTAATTCATATATATTGTCAGGCCATCTCAACGCCACAAAAGTGTTCTCAATGCACATTACCATCCCACCAACATAAATTTATCCCATAATAGTCACAAACATCGTGCACTCATAGTTCGCAAAACTGAACATGGCTTCCAATTCCCAGTATTTTCTTCGGTCCGATGTTAAAAAATGGCCGTGGATCACCATGCTCATTCGGCTGGAGGGTAATCGTCGATGTTGTCAAGCCATAGTCTATATCTGCAGAGAATGTAACAAGAGAGCCGATGTGCATTATTTCTCCAGGTGTGATTTGCATCGAGTTACCAATGGTAATTGTGGAAAGCATCACACTAAATATTATCGCGAGCGCGTGGCGGGGGAAATGTGTTATGGTTGTTTGATCATAAGTAGGAAGTAAGTGTCCGATTTTTTGCTTCAAGAGTTCTGTGGACTAACTACGCTACAGATTCTTAAAGCATCCTCCCAGATTTCGTAAGAAGCACCGTAAAGCAGAGAAAACAGAAGAAAAGTAGAGCACTTGCTCCTTTCAATCGCGACAAGAAGAAGCGTCGAAAATACAAGGGACCAAAGAAATGGGCGAAAAGAGAAAGAAATCATCGATGAACTGGCCTGTTTTGTTCCAAGCTTTAATTTCGCACATCTTGTGTTAAAGAGAACGCAAGGATGATTCATCCAGGTTTTGATAAAGTCATTCAATCAGTCATAATTTGAGCTTGATGAGACTTCATTTCATGTCATTGAATCAAAACTAGGCCATGGATTAATGTGCTTGCTCATCAGAGCAACTGATATTGTAAGATCTAATAATATAGAAGTTTATCATAGATCGGACGGATACCCAGATTAGCAAAAAACAATCGAGTATTCACACGCGAATCCAATTGATCCGTAACAGATGTCATGGACTACCATTAGAATCTGTCTAAAGTAATTAGCTTTTATAGAGTAATCATCGTATCGCAAAACTGTATTTGAAAAGATTTTTGGGCTTCATGTGAGGAACGATAGAGGACCATTTAACTCTCCCCACAAAGACTGTAGTCCCAAGCCATACAAGTTATTCGAAATGTGATTGATCACAAGTCTAGCTAGTAGATATTCACAAGCTCTCCTACAACTACCTACCTCAACGGAGATGTTCAGATAGATCATCAGTAGTAAGCAAAAGAGAGCTGCAGCCGAAATATCATTCTAGTGATAAATAGATATGAAAGAGGAGGTGCCCTAGAATAATTTTGAAGTAAACATTTTCTTCAAGTTGTGAATTAGTAAACTTCAAAGCAATATACTACCTTACTTGAACTATCGACGATAAATTTCACTTGGACTCTATTCACGGAGTATGAAGGGGGGTTGCAAAATAGCCGAAGATTTAAACGATCAAATGAATTAAGAGTGTGTAGAGTTTATTCTAAGTATGATTTAATCAGCAGAGCAAAATTACATACTAAGTAAGCGAATACTGATCTCCCCAGTGAGTAAGCAATGTCGTTTGTTACATGCCAATTAGATATTGACTAGAGTAAACATAATTCCTGCTCCACGTCAACCTTAGTTAAAAAAGAATGCTCTTGATCAATTGCTAAACTAAGTTAAGATCATTCCAGAGCTGACTATCTACCCCACTTAATCGCAGTAAGAGAGCTCAACTTGTGAGACAGGTCGGTTACATCATTTTTATCTCCATATCCTTCCATCTCCATGTCAAATTCCATTTCATCCGTCATTTCATCGCCTCCGCCTTCGACTTCAATTGTGCCTTTGCACTCATTCTCGTTCTCTTAGGTATCTTTCTGGAAGTCTTCGTAGGTGTGCTATATCCACCTCCACTGCGAGACTTGACAATAGCTCTTCTATATCTCAGTTCATCATTTCTAGCTTGTTGGAATTTGATGTCCTTACTTCTTGCAAGCTTATCTCCTCCGGTTCCGCTTGGTGTGGATTTGCGTTTAATACCACTTCGCTTTGATTGAAAAGACTGGATCGCTTTAATACTCTCTTGTCATCGAGTTCTGATAGTTTGGTGGCAGTGTTCGGGGGAGTATTCATGTAAATTTCGTCGGAAGTATAACCGGAATCTCTACTAATGATCTGCAGTAGCCACGGATCTCACACCATCAAATCTCGAATCTCAAACCCTGATTGAAGAAGGAGTACTAACCTCATGACACATTCTGCGCAATCTCTATCCTTGACTTCCTCCGAGTAAACCACATCAGGGATACAAGGCTTGTTATCGAGATGACTCCTGCATCTTGCGCTGTTCTCCTGCCCGTTGTGGAGACATCTGTATTGAAAGATGCTTATTTGGCAGCGTCCTGAGAAGATGGAATTTGGGGTACTATTCATTTTGATGATGCTTGTGACTTGAAGAAGTCGACTTGATGTGATTCGAAGAAGTTGGCTTGATTTGATTCTGATGATCTTGGTGTGACTTTGATAATCTTGACGAGGAACAATTGGTGGTGATATTTTTGGACTGATTAAATAGTTGTGACTTTGCGTCTGAAAATCAGGAATAGATAATTGTGATGAAGCAGACGTGACTGGAACATATATAGACACGAGGAAGAGATATCCACAGCCGAAGGGGTTGATACGGCGTAAGCGTATAGTTGGCTTAACAATCTGATGGCATACCGTAAACATTGTACGCTCTGACCGTATCACCCTCAGTATTACTCACATACGAGACTATTAACAATTGAGTCCACTGTACTATACAGAGATGATTTTGATAGAAGGTTGCCGTTAGAGCACTTGACACACCGTAAACATTGTATCTTACGTTCTGACCGTATCATCCTCGGTATCACTCACATAAAAAGCTGTCACGAACTAAGCATACCATACTATGCAGAGATACGGCTGATAGCAAATCACCACTAGAGCATTCAAATCACCGTAACTCAACATTCTCAGACTATCACGGCGATGCGAGCTGGATCTCTTTGGCGAGGAAGTGACAGCAGCTACTCACTGCTTGGATCGGACGATACAAAAATTGTAGCACCTGATAGCTTTCAACTTTGAAATCCAACTGGATAATAATCAGGTACTCCACAAAATAAATTTGTTAAATAGAGTCAAAGTGAGAACTGTCAGACAACAGCCTAATATTGTTCAAAAGCGATATATACTATAACGATATGTCCAGCATCAAAACTACTCTCATTTTTGCTGAATATTTCACCCCCCCTATGCTAATATAAAGACCGCAAATGTCTCTCATGCCCCCTAAATATCATGACAGATTTTGATCATCATAGACTAAGTTCTAATTTTCTTCTCCGAAGAAATGGGGAAAGAATATCAGCATCGATCCTATCAAGCCACCCTACATTTTACTATTCAACACAACCGCGCCCAAATCCAGATTTCTCTTGTCTTAATTGATCTACCTATAAAAGATAAAGATCAACAGCGGTACAAGATTTATCAAGACTCACGATAGTGTATATCATTATAGAAGCAAAAGAAACTTCAGTGTCGTCTGTAGTAAACTTTGACTACCGACTAATCACCACCAGCTGAAATTTAAATATAAATATGTATCTAACATACAACCTTCACTCAAGCTCTAAGTTTCGTCTCTGGCATATTCAACACCATATGACCCTCCTCATGTTCCGTAAATCCCAGCTTCTCCGCCTCCTTCCATACCTCTGGATATAATTCCCATGTCCATTCCGCCACTAAATCTTTCCTATTTGATCCTTGGATTGCATTATAAATCGTTCCAATGCTGCTTCATGTTAGAAACCCCCTTAGAGCAATAGAGTAAGAACACAACTTACGTCAATATATCCGGGCCAAAGCCAACATCCTTCTCCATAGCCTCCACCAACACCTTGACCTCATCTAATTTTCCCTGTCCAGCTAATGCACCAGCATAAGCAGCATGGACTTCCCTCGTAATTTCAATCTCCATCCTCTTCATCTTATCCCAAATCTCCCTTGCTGGTCTGTCCCCAAAAGGTTTTCTCTGGCATGCTTGAAACACTATTTCCAGACTTTTGTAACTAGGCCCTTCGCGAGAATTTGTGATATCATCCCAGAAATGTAGAGACCGACTGGCATCTTCGCAAGCTGTATAGGCCAGCATTAAAGAGTTGTATAGACGGGTATTGGGTTCTATGGTACTGTCCATCTTCAACATATTGTGAACCATGTCGAGAGACTCGGCATCGGCACATGATGCTATACCAACAAAACAGTCTATGTAAGTATCTAATACAGGACGTCTGTTAGGGCTGATATGCTGACGCATGTGACCAAAGACATGACAAGCCATATCCGATCTTTTGCGATCGAAGAATTCATTCATAATGCGCGTCCGTGTGGGAACATCAGTCTCATCGAAGATGTGGGTGACGACACGATAAGCATCCCATATACGATCCTCATGGTTGTTTCTGTCAAAACAGAAAGCAAGTATCGCATCTCGTATCTGAGCTCGCTCTAAAAGGGTATAGTGGTAAGTATTGACTTGTAGCAAATCTACCACATCGTGAAGTTCGTTGCGGGCAATGTACATCGTAGAGAGTGAAGAAACTGTATCCGCTTCTAGCCTTGCATTACGCTCGTCAAGATCGGAAACGATTGATGAAATCTCGTTGTAAGGCAGATTCTCAGAGGCGCAGAGTGCTCGGACGAATCTATTGATGACGGGCAAATCCTCGTCCTTGTATATCTCCTCGCCTTGGAGCAGGTTATAGGATGCATGGGCGCCCGAAAGATCTCCGGCACCAACACGATAGTCCATCTGCAGGATGAAAGTTCTTGCATTTGGACGAATATTGAACTTTTGCCCCAATGCGATATAACGCTCTGCAAGATATGGATCATTTTTCGATATTGCATGTTCGACCAAACCATTGATGGTGTCAATATCAGGTCTCATAGAATAATCGTCAGGATAACGCTTTTCCATGATACGCATCATACGTTCCACATCTTCAACGCCCTTGTCCATAGCACTTGCAGCCCATTGAAACACAACATCCCACTTTTCTTTTTGCAACTTTTCTGATTCCAAAACTTTGCGAAAAATATCTTTACACCAGTCTAGCAGTTCCTCATGACGAAGACACAATTTGAGTATATCTTGCAATATACTAGGGGTAAGTTCCACCGGATCATGGAAAACTTTCTCAAACCACGCTTGCGCTTCCGCAACACGGTCCCTAGACGTATAAAACTTGACGACGATTTCCTTGCTAGTATTATGACGTCCTAGGCGTAGCTCTTCCAATCTCTCGTATGTCTTTAGTAGTTCCACCTCGTTCCCTTCTCGCGCAAATCCAGATAAAACGGTAAACCAGTTCCGTTTCATGATTTTGCGCTGCGTAGCGCTGTACTCTTTGATTGAAGATCCCGAGGGAGTTTTCTCATCTTCTAGAAAATTTCGAGCCTCCTCTTCGCAAAGCTCTCTAGCCTCTAGAGATTTCCCAACCCCACTCAGTATCTTTATAAAGCGTTCATAACTTGGCGCATTCTCATTAGATCCAGATAACTCCGACAGCTTCTTGATCTCTAGGAAAAGAAGTCTTGCTAATTCCAGAAAATCGTTCGTCTCGTCTTTAGGAATGATCGTCAATGCTTTCAAAGCCGTCATAAAATCCTTGAGGTGTCCATCCCCCAACCCACAACTAACCAGATACTTCAAAGTCCTCAACGCATGCCCCGCCTCGATATTATTTACCGCTCGTTCCGTATCGACCTTATGTTTGAAGAATTCATTGAAAGCTTTGAGCATTTCATCTTTATTCGCAGTTCGTGCGTGGATCTTCGTCATCAAGCTAAATTCTGCCATTTTTCTCATTCCGGGTTCCAAGTCCGGCGCTTTTGGTTGTCGTGGAGGTTTCCGAGAAAATCCAAAAAGAGAACGACGCGATGCGTAAGATACCGTAGGAAGTGCATTCCGGCGACGTCGAAGTGTTAATGACGATGGCGCTCGATTTTGGCATGGTAATATGAGGCCTTCGTTTGATAAAAGTCCACGGAAGACTCTGCGGGTCAATTGGGAGCGCATGGTTGAGAAATGGTAATGCTATGTACAGAATCTACAAAACCAAAGGATTAGATGAAGACAGAATAAGCAGTGCAGTTGTTTGACTCACGGTATAATAGAAAGAATTACAATTGACGTACTAAGAAGCTTCAAGGTGTTCATTAACATTTTTGCCATTGGTCTTCGAAGCTTGGAAAATGTGCGGCAACTTCCGTTTAGATCCGCATTAAGATTCAGCCAATCATTGATGTTGGGGAGCTACCCCTCACTAATCCCTATTTGAAACAACTTGGCTTTACTGGACTAGCCGGAGGTCACTAAATTGAATTAATGATATCAATGAACCATATAAGAGACTAAATTAGAAGATTAAAATTTTGTCTAGATTGAAACAACCATACATATACACAATAGTCACCTCGAGCTTGTATTAAGCTTAGTTGCCCTTAAAGATCGTTTCAATTATCTCGATTCCATGAGACTAAAACTGCCAAAACCATCAGAACCACCAATCTGAAATATTTAATCTACTACTACCCCGAGAAAGCTCATCATCCATGGATTACCCCAAAAAAACACGCCAGCCAATCTAAAATCCTCCATCACCATCTGCAAAACGCCAATAGAATCATAAGTCATACCATCAATGCCCATTCCATATATAGCTTAACGCCATCTCGATGTCCAGAAACATATATAAAGCTCATAATCATAGTAATTCGGGCTCTTCATCTTCCATACCCTCTTCATCACTATCCCATTCTACATCGTTTGCAGCTGCTTCGGCTTTGCGTTGAACCTCTGCCAAACCACTCAATTCGGTGATGTAGTCCTTTTCAGTTAATGCGCGCTTGATGAATTCCCATCCATCTTCTTTGTATGCATTCACAATCTTTGGTGAGCAGGCTGAGCAGCAATCGTAAGAAGGGCCGCTGATTAGCATTGTTTTGTAAGCGGCCAGGAAACCTCGAATCTGATGAGGTACAAGACCTAGAGGGTGATTTGGTGGGTCCCGATCGAACTCCAATTGACCAGATTGTTGGTTTGGGGAGAGCTTCGGAGCTGGAGCAGCACCTTTCAACGGATGTTGAAGAACAGACGCAAGCAGTTCTACAAGCTTAGAAGATGCTTCGGGCGCAACGCCTGGACGAGTGACAGTGCACTGTTGATCAAGAGTTTGGTCTTTCACAGACTAGAAGAGTCATGTTAGTAAATCATGTAAAGATGGAAAGATAGCTAGAAAACTTACGTCAGATGGCGCTACAACATCATTGCAGAAGTAACAGCCTAGAGCAGCAGGACCTCCATCTTCAGGAGTAACTCCATGCCTCATCAC